CCCTGTGCATTCAAACAATACAGCTGTCTTCTTTTCTGCTAGCAGGAATCTGCTGCCCTGTGAATGCCAGGAGCTCAGCCACAATCCTACTACGCTGCACAACCAACAGAAAGTCATTGGGACAATGTGTGACACCAGCAGCCTCTTGATTTCGTTCATTCCAGCATTGGGCTCATTCGCTCTGAAGACTGCACGAGCTGCTGAGCAACTACTGTCCTTGTCCTTGGGAGGCCAAGCTCAACAGCACGAGGTACATGGTTCCAGCCCAGTTTGCAGTGTCATTCATCTGCAGTGACAGATGTCTGCTGCCTTCCTTGCTACCTTCATATCTTCAAGCATGAAGAAAGAAACCCTCCACCTTCCAGTGTTCTCCATCTGTTTGGCACCCGTATAACAAAAGCCTGCCAGCTATAACACAACACACCAGGAACTCTGCGATGAAAATCCCAGTCGTTACCTGAGTCCATGGCTTTTTCTCTCCTACCCAACCTGCTTTTCCTAAAACTCCTCCTGTCGTGGCTTCATATGGGGCCACGCTCCCACTCTACACAGCATCACAGAATCGTCATCATTGGAAAGGACCTCTGAGATCATCGAGTCCAACCACACACAAACACCCCAACAACCCCGGGCACTAGAGCATGCCCTGAAGTGCCACGTCTACACGTTCCTTAAATCCCTCCAGGGATGGTGACTCCACCACCTCCCTGGGCAGGCCCTTCCAGGGCCTGACCACCCTCTCAGGAAAGTCATTCTTCCCAAGATCTCATCTAAACCTCCCCTGCCCCAACTTCAGACCATTTCCTCTGCTCCTGCCATTATTCCCTTGGGAGAAGAGGCCAACCCCCACCTCTCTCCACCCTCCTTTCAGGGAGCTGTAGAGGGCAATGAGGTCTCCCCTCAGCCTCCTCTTCTCCAAACTCAACATGCCCAGTTCCCTCAGCCTCTCCTCGTAGGACTTGTTCTCCAGACCCCTCCCCAGCTTGGTGGCTCTCCTCTGGACACACTCCAGCCCCTCCATGTCCTTCTTGTGGTGAAGGGCCCGGAACTGAACCCAGCCCTGGAGGTGAGGCCTCACCAGTGCCCAGTCCAGAGGCACCTAGAATGGCCAAACCTCCCATCTAGTAAGAATTTGGGGGTTAGTACCTAGAGTAGGGAAAGACTTGGCTGGAGGAGTGAATTTGAGCTGAACAACCAAAGAGGGATCAGGACCCGATTGGAGTCAGTGAGCTCGGGACTAAATCCAAAACTGCACTCTTCAGCTGTGGGAAAAAGGAGAAATCCTACCTCTAAGTGTGCATAATTCTGAAGTAGTTTTTATGGATATTAATTTCTTTCACATTAACATTTTCATTTTATAGACCTGGCTAATGTTTTGAAAACCACAGGGTGGCTGGTTTTAGCTTGTATTTACTCAAAGAGTAACACATCTGCCACTGCTCAGCTGAATCTGTCAGGTATTTTTTGCAAATCCTTTTGCTTCTGAAAACAAATGTTTTCTGTAACTTCTTGATGTAGCTGGTAAGATGTCCATGCCACAGAAGCGACTGACTGCTTTGATGAGTTTTTGAGGATAGAAGCTGTTTGGCCATTAAAAGTATTTGCATCGTTAAGGAATTGAACATCATGTAACATTTAAAGAATGCTTTATTAATCTCAGAATAAGAAGAGCTCTCTCTTCAAGGGTGGCAAGAAAAAGCCAATGTCTTTCTAAACTATTTTATTTTTAGACATTCTTTGATGTAAAAGAAACCTATTATGAAGTACTGAAATAAATAATTTTTTTCATTCACTTAAAAATAAATCTCTGGCTAAAAATCTGCTGCTCTTATCATTATTATCCCCCAAATTAATATTTGAATTTAACTATAAGCATCTTTGAATCTGCAAACACTGCAGTAACTGAAGGATTACAGCCTTATCATAAGTCACAAAATTGCACATACAGTTTACGGGCTCCTAGGAAACCATGAAAATTATATTTCCTTTGATTCAATCCACTCTGTTCTAGAAGAATTCTACTCGTAAGTTTGCAAAAACTACTGAATGGTAGACATTAGAAAAATAAAAAAGCTGTAACAGAATAAACAACAACAGAAGATTAACAACTTGGAACAAAACAACCCTCAGAATCCAACATTTCAATGTGGCTGCAGAATTACATCTTTTATCAATTAACCAATCGCAGTCTTTTTGAAAAAGACAAAATCTAGCACAGATGTCAGCATACTAATAGAATTGCTCATGACTTCTGGAAACTGTATACAATGGTCAGAAAGATGAATAAACCAGACTAAGATAATAACGACAATCACCAGCCTGTTCTAAAGGAAACTCGGGGAGATCACAGAGTCATAGAATGGTCCAGGCCGGAAGGGACCTCCAAAGGCCATCTAGTCCGACCCCCCCGCAGTCAGCAGGGACACCCCCAACTAGACCAGGTTGCCCAGGGCCTCATCGAGCCTCTCCTTGAATATCTCCAGGGATGGGGCCTCAACCACCTCCCTGGGCAACCTGTTCCAGTGCTCCACCACCCCCACAGTGAAGAACCCTCTCCTCATCTCCAATCTAAATCTGTTCCTCTCCAGCTTGAAGCCATTGCCCCTCGTCCTGTCACTGCAGGCCTTTCTAAACAGGCTCTCCCCAGCCTTCCTGTAGCCCCTTCAGATACTGGAAGGCCGCTATTAGGTCTCCCCGGAGCCTCCTCTTCTCCAGGCTGAACAACCCCAGCTCCCTCAGCCTGTCCTCGTAGCAGAGGTGCTCCATCCCCCTGATCATCCTCGTGGCCCTCCTCTGGACCCTCTCCATCAGGTCCATGTCCTTCTTATACATGGGCTCCAGGAGCTCTGCAGGGCTCCAGACCTGCACACAACACTCAAGACAGATCCAGACAGCCAAGGTGTCTTTGCCCAGGGAAAACACGGAGAGGATGTGATTAACTGATCTCTATGAACACAGCTAACACGGGATGTAGACAAAGAACTGTTAAAGCTCCAGGAGAAAATTGAGTGAAGAGCTCGGCTTCAGGTGACCATGAGCAGGTCAGCACAACAGGGGGCTGGTGCCCCCCGAACCCACCTTCAGCCTGCTGCCCACCCCAGTGCCTCTGGACAGAGCTGCTCTCTGGACAACGGGCTCCAGCCTCTGCAGTTCCCTGTACAATTCCATTCCCACTGCGTGGCTTTGGGCACATTTAGGCCGAAGGCTAAAATAATTTCTCAATCAGGACTGGGAAAAAAAAAAGGGAGAACGAGGTAAAAATGTCACTGACTTCCAAGGGGGTTTATCAGCTACTTCTGAGTAAATCGATTACTTGTATTAGTGTGTACTTGGGTGGCAGTTCTCAGGTAAGATGTAGCACTCAAATGTCTAATAAAGTTACCAGAAATACACCTTAAATAAAAATTCATTAATGAGTTATTTCATTGATATTTCAGTGGCATCAATCCAACACCTGTTTAATCACTGCCTGCTTCAATAGAATATAATTAGAATTACATAAGCCTTTGATTGAAGCTGCTGAACTGTCCTTCCTATGCAATCACACAGACACACACTTAATTAGAAACTTTGGCACTTATTTATTTGATGCCAACAGACTGAATTTAAACACCAATCTAAATCATTACTTACCCTGGGAGTTACTGCTCTGACTGAAGGTTTTAATTAACGCTTCCTGAAACAATTTATTACTATCTGTTAAGAGGTATCTAACTTACTGGGTAAGCAGTAAATGCAGAAATTCTTTAAAATGCTTGTTAAAAAAAGATAAGCTCTCCAGGTGCCTCGAATGGACAGAATGTACCCTCCTGACTGTACTGTTTGACAGGCACCTATTCTACACATCCCACTCCTCAGGTTTCACCACAGCCTTTTATTTCCTAGAACTTAAGATTTATAAAAAATGCTCTATAGTAAGACACATACACAATTGCTCTACATACACAATTTCGAAAGAGACAGCCCTTTGGTTCCTGCCTACTATATAAATAACAAGTGTACAGGCATAAAAAGCTGCACATCTTACAAATACAGCATCTTAGCAGGATAAGAACAGCATTTGTTAAGTAGCAAGGCTTCTGCTGGGAATTCAGCATCTACAAAGCCTAAAATACTCAAACCCCAGCATTATTTTAAACAGTAGTATCTATCTAAGCACTGATTTAGTGCGCGACTGTTGTGACCATGTCATGACTTGGATGACTATTTCCAAACAGACAAGAGAAGTGAACAAAAAGCAAACGGATTTGTCCCCTCTGCTGCCATCTGCACACACTGGTACCAGTGACATGGTTGGTCACCTTCTGGTCAATGACAGTCCTGAACCAAAGTGCAAGTACTTTTTTCAGGCAGAGATTTCCAATTAAGACTTGTTTTGCAATGCTAATATATCTACAACACGCCATCTTCATTCTCCAAAATATCCTGAAAAGAAAGTCCAAGCTTACTGGCTCTGTTTTGCAATGCTAATATATCTACAACATGCCATCTTCATCCTCCAAAATTATCCTGAAAAGAAAGTCCAAGCTTACTGGCAGTTGAAGTAGCAAGACAGAAGGTTTTCAGCTGTCTTTCAAGAACTCTTCAATCTCAGATCATTTCTTGAATGTCTTTGAGCCGTGTTGCCCTCCAGCTGAAATGCCAGGTCAGGCCATTGTAATTTTTTGCTGCTATTCTTCATTTCTGTGGCTTTTGTCACTGGAGATGCGTTACTTGGTACTATAAAAGTTTGAGGAGGAAGCAGTTCAAATAATTTCAAACTTTGCTTTTCAGACTGTTTGCTTTCTGAGTCTCCCTGCCATCTACTGAACTGTGTTAGCAAAGTTTTCACAACCTGCCCCCCTCCCCCCAGGCTAATGTGTCATCCTGTATTTGTTACATCTGATGCCCACCAGGACTTTTAAGTGGCATCAGCCCCCGCTCCCTTCCCCCGTACCCCTCTCCTTGACAGTCACCATTACAGCTGAACGGCGGGCAAACAGCAATGAAGGGACAAGGAGTTAAAATCATACATTTTATTGCCAAATAGCATTTAGGTTGACATAGTAAATAGTTCTTCAGATAACCAAAAAGTACATTTCTATTCAGATAACCATCTCCCCTGTACTTCTGAATCCCAAGAAGGCAGCAGATAATCTTTACTTTCCATTCCCTGAGTCCCTCTTTACTTGCCTCGTTGTCCTTACAGCATTCATTTAAAATCACTTCAAATCCAGGAAAGTACACCTCGTATTTCAAAATTTGAGGAAAAGGACTCCTGAAACTTCCATTTAAATCTTTACTGTTTCTTTGTGATCACTCAGTCTTCCAACTTTGGAATACTGAGACAAAGCTAGCAAACAATTTCAAAGCACTGAACTTAGATTTATTTCCGATTTATAAAGAAAGTAATTTTATACCAGTAACTTGAAAAAATCAAGTCAAATATAAACCTTTCAACAAATAACGTAAGAATAAATGTTTTGGAACACTTTTACTTTTCTCATTTTATTACGCAGCAGATATTGTACAAAACTGCCATAGAAACAGTGGCATTGAAGTCTACTTATGCATTTTACACAATTTTAGGTTAAACCCAAGCACTGACTATTCAGAGCACTTGAAACATGTTAAACAATATAGATAGGTAATAGCACAGCCCAAATGTCAAAGTATCTGCCTATCTTATACACGATTTTAAAAGCACTTAATGAAGTTGCATGAATTCCAACTGACATCACATTATTTATTTCAAAATATGTTTATTGCAGAGTACTTTTTTCAAATAAATTTACAAGAAACAATATTGTTCTTAGGGCTGTGGAAAACGACTAGCACACTGAAGCTTAAGTCTTGGTTCCAGTGACATCAATAGGATTTTTGCCACCGACTTCATTGATGCAAAGATATTTTTTTTGATCCACTCATTTTTTCTATTAGATAAAAGCTGTAAAGTCCAGCTCAGACTTACAAAATAGCTATTTGAAAAATATTTTCTGAGGCACACATGCAATATGATGAAGAGTCATTACAGATATCAAAACTACTGCTTTAGTTCTATTCCATATGAAAGTCACAGATAGATTGCAGCAAAAGCAAACCCGAACAGAAAGGAGAGCACCACTGTTACACTTTGCTGATTTCCCTCTTAAGGCTATGGAACTATGTTCTGGGAAGAACGACATCAATACTTACTTTTTTGGTATTACTTTCTCAGGTAAATGTATCATGTTTTTTACCAAGTCATTAAAATGCATTTCAAAATAAATGTTTCTGCACATGTGACTTGCTTCCTAACTACAGATATGCTCCAAGAGCCACCATTTAGAGAGGTGTAACACACAGACCTATAAAAATGCTTTAACATTCATGTAGTCAAGAGGTTTAGTACTGAGAACTATGACTTCTCGGTATGAACGGATTCAGTAATAATTATTAGTCTCATGTTGAGAAGCTGAAGATTACCTGGGTTTTCTTATTAAAAGCAGTGGCAGAATACTTGACAGCTGAAGCGCATCTCACCAAGGTTGACATTTTTATGTTAAAGCCATAATCTGACAAAAATTCCAAAGAGCAGAACTAAATATAATGTCATTAAAACCTTTTGAAGTTTTAAATTTCAAATCAGAGGTGCAAATGTGAAGTTTTAGCTTTAGTGTTTAGTTTTAGCTTTAGCGAAATTGTGTTAACAGGCTTCAGCTTTATTCTGTTTATAAACAACTTAAAAGGCTTTGGTTTTCTGTACCGTGAGCTGTACCTATGGCACACCAACTGTGTGGTACGTGCACACGTGTGCCAGCTCCTCTCCAGAACCCACCTTTGCAGTATCATTGCCTACATTCTCCCTAAATAGCTTGAAAATGGTACTAAATTAACACGGTTTAGTTTCAGACCCAGAATTAGCCTGTGCCTGGCCACACCGAGTTGGCACTGATCTGCAAGCACGGGGACAGACACACTCCTCACAACGGACGGAAGAAACACATTCCTGGAAAGATGCCAAGCAACTTATTTCGTCAGCTGGACTTAGCAAAGCAAAGTATACCTTGTAGAATCAAACATTAATTTGCTTTAAGAAATTAAGGGCAATATAAGCTACGTTAATTTGTTTTTCATTTCTGTTCACAAAATATTAAACAAAAGGTAAAACCAATTTAAACCACTGCATGCAAATTAAAAGCCTGAACGTTCTCGAGGGTTGAAAACCGTGGTAACCGTTTTATCCAAAACATGTGCATTTCAAATGTTTAGAAACATGTAAGACTGCTTTTTTTTTTTTTTTTTTTTTAGTGTGAAATAATAAGCTCCTGAAAATAGGCAATACCAGCATGCATTTTAATTCTCACAACATTTTGGGGAACAAATACGGTACGCGAGTTTGCTGCTGAGTCTTTAATGTTTTACAAGCTGTTCAAGACTGAAGGCAGCCACAGAACGCTTCACAGTTAAGGCTCAGGGTCAGGGGGTAACTGTAAGAGAATCTAAGCATGGAGAAGTGCATTCCATTTTCTTGGCAACAAATCTCACCTACACCGTACCGAGCTGGCTGGAAAACAACTCAGCCAGAGATGACAAGTCTTCTGCTAGATTTGTGTCTTCATTGTGCTAAGCCCCTTGTAGCTGCAGCCTCTGAAGCTGCTCAGGGGACTCCCCTCTAGCGCTACACGTACTGAACACGAAACCCAGTGCATCAGTGTCAAAGTTAGTTATTAATGCAAAAAACCTCTTCAAGTGAACAGGTATTACCCAAATTCAGAGCTGTGCCGCCTCTTCTGACCAGACCTACAACGTCCTCTCTCAGAGAACCACACACCCACCTTAACTCATCACCTGGAAACAATTCACCAGCTGTGAGACCACTCTGGTGTCTCTCACTGTGGAACCCATCATCCCATTTTGTTTATGGCATTTCCCATAAAAACACAGATCTTCCATGGCTAAACGTTTTAGACAGATTGTCTGATAAATTTTACAAATATCGTTCCAAATTCATAACACACTTAAACCAAACTTCACACATTCACCTTAAGCTTGCACACTACAGAAAGAGATTGCAAACCCCAAATAAAACCATGCAAAAAAAGCCAAAAACCAAAACAGAAGACCATCAAGCTAATATATCTAAATACAAATTAAACCAAATAGAACACCAAAATAATACATAAAGTCTGATTTTGTTCAAGATCTTGAATAACAAAGTATTATTAATTTTCTTGTGCTGTTTTTTAGGGAGGTGAGGTTTTTTGGTTTGGTATTTTGTTTTTTGTTTTTCTTTTACCCATCAAATTTGAGATAAAGCAAAATAAGCCTTAATTCCCCATCTTCCCCAAATCCTGGTTCCTCATGTAACAAAGGAAGTCTGTGCTCTTAGTGAGCATTTAGTGTATATATTCATACTTCCACTAAATTTTGCATTTCCTTCATGTAGAAGAGTAACTCAAATTCCCAGTTTTACCACATTAACACAAAAGTTAACTAATAAAATATGAAAACACTTCAAGAATATTTCTATCACTGTTTTTAACACACATTACTTCTGGTCCATTATAATTTGTATGGGATATGTCAAAATAAATCTTTATCATTGTTCTTGCTAACCCCAAAATATATATTTGATTACCTGTTCTCTCACTTTAAAGGCATCAGTGCAAATCTACATAATTCTGACAGCACATTAGATAAAAAATTGCACCAAACCCAGGTTTCAAAAGAGCTATACTACTTTTAGGTATTATGTAGTTACATAAACTGTAAAAATGTCTAACTTTTCCAAGTATCACAACCAATCTAACTTTAGATGTTAAATCATTAGTACGCTAAACAATTGAAGGTTTGACAGATAACTAAAAAGTGCCTTACACAGTAACTTAGTATCTTCACCACCTTCTGTATCGTAACTCTACATCAATCACTTCAGTCCTGGACATCAAAGTAGTCAATTACCGGATCTTCTTTTAATGGTTTGGATAAACCACTGTTTCCACTACTCCTGAAATTATAAGAATATTAGATGTTACTCACTCGCATGAAAAACAAGATACAAAGTAAATGGAAATCACAAACTCTCATAATGTCTCGGTGTGCACACGCACACTGCATTGGTAAATGGCAGGGGTTTCTAAATTAGGTTTTAGTGAAAATACTTTAATGCTCCAGAAAGCCTTTGTTAAGGTATATGTTTTTTCCCCCAAAATCAGTTATTAAATTAATGTACATCAATATGTGACTAAATTAATGAAATGTGTTTTGATATTTTACTGGAAAATACTGTTTACTGGTAATATTATTACAAAAAAGATACTGTACTAAAGACTAAATGTTCAACATGCCTTTTTAAAAGTCAGAGCAAAAGAAACACTGTTGAAATGAGTTGATGATGAAATCTGCTCTCTTTTGAAAGCCAGAGTAATACCAAATGGTAATAATAATGGTAATACTAATACCAACAGTAATATAAAATCCAAACGCTATAAAGTTTTTTTTTCCATAAAACAGTATAAGATCTTCCTAAAGATTTTATAGAATTAAGGACTTCTAAAGAAATTTCACTTCTAGTAATTAAAAATAAATGGCTAAAGCCCTTTTTTGTTTAATTTTGCCACATAAGCCCCTTTCATTAGGGTCACTGAAGACAGCAATCCCACAGCAGGAAGTGGAAATTACGAGTAAGAACTTTTTTAAAATTCACATTGAGTTACACTGTAAGCAGTCATTTTAGACGTGTTTCACTCTAGATGCTTAGTTCTGAAATAATTCCATTTTTTTCAGAACAGCCTACTTTGTACTCCGCAGCACCTTAAGCACCCAATAGCTACTGCAAAATTAAGCAGTTTTTTTCAGCAAATGGTACTTCACACAACACAATTTCGAATGTTAATTTGGAAATAACTTGGGGGGAAAACTTTCTGAAAGGCAAACCTGAGCAAAGAATAAGCTATCCATTAAAAAAATTCATAACTATGACATGACTATAGGTACCTGACGCTGGCAGGTCATATAAATTAAAGATTGTTCTTTTAAACTATTCACCAAGAAGCCTTATATATCCCATCTTCACTAGTTTTCACTATCTGAGAATAACGATAGCCTTTAGCCAACCGCGTAATCACATCTACACAGGAAAAATACATTTGCTACCTATGCAAATAATTAATTTTATGCCAGTAAGACATTACTCTTTTGCAGAGAAAAGTTAAAGGTAAATAGCATCCCCCAAACTCCAAAATAGCCACTTCTTCCCAGCTATCTAATCTTCATTAAAAAATTATTTTAGAAGTCTACCATATTTGTTACATTACTACTCCTATGTCACATAGTCAATCCTACATCTTTAGCACTTAATTTCAGGTTTACTTCTGTGGAAAGAAAATCTTGGTGCAGGCTGCAAGCTTCAAAGCTGTGTGTGCGTTGGGAAAACAAAGAAACACAGAGTATAAAGTTGAAGCTCAGGAACACTTCTCTGACAGTAACCAGGACAAAATTGAAGAATACTGCTTTAAAAACAAATTCCTTACTTATCTGTTTGTTTATAATGAGGAATAGGAGGTGGAGGCCTGCTCTGCATTTCTTTATCTAGCACAGAAGTTAAAGTATTGCTTGGACAAACGGATTTCCCTCTAGAAAAATAAAAGAAAGGTTATTTAATTCCATAGAAAATTAGATTTTTAAAGAAGTTAGGGTGAAAAAGTTACATTTGTAACTATTTCAGTTCCAGTGTCAGAGTGCATACTTGTTAAATTAAACCACCTATTCAAATATTTAATTTTCCAACCATGGAGACCAATAGAGTTCAAAGTCCATTTTCATTACCAACAACAAGATACCCAGTATTCTAAACATCTCTTGATCACTGTCTATAAAAACGGAACCAGCTTACTAAATTTGAGTATTAGTGCCCAGACTCCTCCCTTTCTGTATATGAAGCGCATAACACTTCTACTGTGAAGTGCACCACGAGATCAACTGTTAATACACCAAAAATGCAATACTTGCATTCTAGGACAACATCTATCTGTTCTTTCACGGAAAGGGTATTAGCTTATCTCAGCACCACGGGAACACAGCTCACTGCATCTTCCCAACGTGCTATCTAACGCTGTGGGAACACGTTAAGCTCTGGCAGTAAGTCATGGTAAACTCATTTATCACTCTGACTGAACGCGGCTCTGCTGAGCAGGGCTCTCCCAGGAGCAAAGCACCAACACTGCCTCTCCCTTGGCAGCTGGCTCAGGAGAACCACATCAGGAAAATAGCATTATGCCTTGTACCATCTGCAATGCAAGGGGCACCCTGTGGCTGTGGTGCAGGGCAGTACAGGAGGACAGTGTACTTTAGCATGTATATTTATATGCCATAGGCATACATTGGCCACGAACCACACTCAGCTTCAGCATGGCAGTCCACAGCCAAAGGCTGCACTGGCTGGAGAAAGAGGAAGGATTTAAAAAAAAAAAACAAAAAACCAAACAAAAACCCAACAAAAAACCCCACCACAAAAAACCAAAACCAAACCAAACCAAAACCAACAAAAAACCCACAAAAAATAATCACCAAGAAAGATTGTTCCAAAAAGGCACCTAATTAAAATAAAATAAAATAAAAAAATCAAGTAATTACCAAACTATATAGGCTGTGGAGATGTCTTAAAATTTCCTATAAATTCATGAGCTGTTTTCAAGCGTGAGCTTGCTTTATTTCAGCTTCCAGTCATTGTTATGATTTCAGGGCAAGACTGAAAAACGTTTTACTATTAGCATCTTTTCCATCACAGTTTCTTTTTAATTTTTTCTGGGAGCTGAATAAGCTGAATAAATTAACGATGGAACGATGAAGGGGGCATGGGCTGAGGGCAAAGCAGATTTCTGATGTTTGCTTCTACATATCGAGAAGAGGAAGAATTCTGGTTAAAGGAAGCTTTCTTAGCACCAAGGAGACTTTCTCACTCCTCTGACCAACCTCTATGGTGATGTTACCACTTCAATGACAAAATGAGGGTGTGTGAAGAGGAAGAATGGTCTCTTTGTCTATCATCATTTTGAATTATCTACACTCCAAAGTGCCTGTAATAGAAATCCACGGGCAATGCTGAGAACAGGATGAAACAAAATGCAAACTACTTGGACTTTCTGGTGACTACTAGCCCCTGGACTTGAAGAAACTATTGTGAAATACTCAAAAATAACATCCCAGAACTTGAGCTATCACTTGTCTGAGGCTTCAATGTTCTTTATGTCTTAAAGAAATAGCAAATAAAATTAAAAGCAGCTTTGGATGAATCCACTGAAATAAGAAACATTGCTATGCAGCTGGAGAATATTCTTGGGAGACCACCTGGTGTCTGGAAAACTGGCAGAGGTGAAATAGCAGCATGTACGTTCTGCATGGTACGCTGTTCAAGGTTGTAGCTAATCTACCAGCCCACGAACAGGCTCAGGAGCAGCTCACAGCACTCCAGTAGCATGGAAGGTGACAGGTTTTTTTACAACTACAGTCAGTATCTACAGTTGAGAACAACCGATTGTCAAAGAAGCACAATTTGACAGTCCTAAACTAAACTAAATATGCTGCTTGGTGAGCAGCCGAATCAACGAAGCCTTGATAGGTGAGATTTGGGAAGCCTTCCCATCGTATGGCTCCACTGCAATCACCTCGCTTGTCCCCAGCTGTACTCCCTTCATTTCCTTCTCTAATATGAACTGCCTTCTGTGGGTCTTCTCCAAGTATTTCCAGTTTTGTTTAGAAATCTCTTCAATTTGAAGAAATTCCAGGAGTATACTCTGTGGCTGGTTCAGACAGATGGAGAACAAGTAAGTTCCAAGATCAGAATTTTTCAAAGAAGGTGCAAATTTAGGTATGACTTTTCAACCCAGCTATTAATTTTCATAAAATTGTATGACATGTATTATCTTTGATACCTCTATCAAATTTAGCTGATGGTAAAAAGACAAAAAGTTACTGCTAAGATGAATAGAGAAAAGCCTTGCAAAATCTTTTCTTAGCTTTTTTATTTCTAATTGGGTTTCCTTCTCTGAAGATTTACTTGACTCGTGGAAGTAGAAGCCTATGAAATTATTTATTTAAAAACTGCTTTAAAAAAAATTTCTATTGGAAGTTACTGTATGTTGCAAATTGCGCTATAAATAAACTCATTTGAATAAGTGATAAAAACACTCAATTATTTCAACTATAGTTAATAGATTTGAAAACAATAATGAGTTACATACTTCACTGCAGTGATAACAACATTCCGCTTTGGCTCGTTGTCGTAGCTCACACTCTCAATGCCATAAACCTGAGCTAATTCATGGATGATTCTGCGGTGATCTCTGTTCATTGGGGGGTAACAATGGCTCTTCTTCGTATGCTTGCCCTGAATTCAAGAAAAAAGATTAAAAAAAAAAAAAAGGTAAAGATTTCCCGGGTGGTGGGGCAGGCAGGGGAAATAAAAAAAGAAAAAATAAAGTGTTTCTACCTTTAAGATTTTGCCACTATAACAAAATTAGTACCACAAATTGCTAGTACCTCAGTATCCCTATCTAAAAATGTTCACTTGCCCAAAATTGAATTATGTGTTTTCTATTGTTTCCATCACTTCAAAGTACACACACACGGACACGTATCTTTTAAGTCTGAAATACAAATCCTGAATTTATCCATTCTACTTGTATCTCAAAGAAGCAGGATAAAATGACATTTTCTAAATTTTTTTCAAATTTGCCAATTTTCAACTACATCTAATTTTATTTTTCAGACTGCACATATTGCAGATAGCTACACTTATTTATCACTTCCCTACACCAAAGAAGCTATTTGTAATGGCATCAATAGACTTTTTATTAAATAAAACTGTGGTTTTCATTTCAGTTAAAGACTGATAATGCTCGTGATTCTACACCTATTGCTATATAAACAGTAGAAGAACAAACCAAAAGCAGGACCCTATGAGCCCTGTCCTGGCGTTGGGTGACTTTGTAACAGCAAGAGCAGGTGAGGATGAGACACTCAATGCTTTAGTCTGCTTCAGGGATGCAAGACCCCACTTCAGCTTTTGCCTTGGTTGTCACCAAAAAGGCTTCTAGGTCTTTGGCTCTACAGACAGGGTTGAAGGGGAAAACAAACTACCAGCAGCAGAATAAGTCTGAGTCAAGGATTTCTAGAGAAATCCCAACCTATACAACTTCCTCAGAGTGCATTTACAGGCCCTAAGAAACCAGGACAACCTCCAAGGGACTGTAGAGAATGGGGTAGGAACCCAATGAACTAGAGAAAGGTAACGTTTGCAACTATCTTAAAAAATAATAAATCCAAAAATCAAAACAAAAAAACCCAAAAATGCAACACAAGGAACAACAGGGTGATCAAATCAATCCCAAAATCAAAACGAAAAAAACCCCAAAATGCAACACAAGGAACAACAGGGTGATCAGCTACACTTCAAAGACTGAGGGAAAAAAAAATAAAATCATAAAGCAAGTCCCTTTAGAAGCTGTTTTTAGGTACATGAAGGTGGAAGTCCCTCAGAGTACTAAATCTGGATTTACAAAAGGTCAGTTGCCTAAATTAATGTAAAGACTACATGTAAAAGAGCAAGATATACATCAGAGGTACACTGTAGCCACCCTGTAAATGGAGGGCTAATATCTGTCTTCTCTTAGACTGTAAAGTAGCTAACATGAATATTAGCTGGTCCAGAAACTGTGGTCAATCATTTCCCTAAATCTTCATGGTAATTGCATGCTGTCAGGATATAATCTTCACTCAACAAAGAATATAATAAGCCTCCCATCTATTACAACACTTCCAGCATATAGACAAGCATTTCAAAGAAGAAAACTCTACAGATTCTGTATCTAATCATGATGACTAGTAACGTTTGCTTTAAAAAGTGGTGATGGTTCCACGCTCAGAAAAACCTCAGAACATCTGTCTGCATGCAGGGCTGGATAATAGAAATGTTTCCTGTCTTGCCTGCTTACATGTATCAATGATGACAACTCTGCTATGCTGGATGAGTACATGCTGATGAGTCTAGAGGAACAGATCTTCATGAGGGAAAGTCATAAAATGATAGCATTAATACGGTTCAGCTGTACCTAAAACTTCTAAGTATCAAAATCCTTTTTATTACTCACTTATTCAATTAAGCTGAAGTTGCTATCTCCAAACCCACAGTGCAAAAAAATAAAACAATCAAAGTGAAATGTGTAAGCCTAAGTAATCGCTGTAAAAGACATAGCACTGACAGAGGCAGAGCTACCTGAATGCTTGATAGACTAGCATGCAAAATACATTTAACAGAACTAAGTAAAGCTCTGCATCCAGAAACAAAGAAAATAAACCACAACTTTAGTCAGCCTGAATGCAGACTCAAGCATAAGGAGGACTTAGGGATCAGGGCAGAAGAACAAATGAAAACAGTCTCCTTGCATAATGCCACGTCAAACATACTAATCCAATCTTTGGCTCCAAAGAAGGGAAGTTTACTTGGTCAGGTTGGACACAGGCCTGAATAAGCAACCCTTACATGTCGGTAAGACATGCCCAAGACAACAAAATACCTGTGGGGAGAAGAGATGAGACAAGGGAGAAAATAAAGCCTCAGACTTCCAGAAATAAGAAAAAGTATGGAAGAATAAGAACTGAGTGAAAGAGCAGGTTAACTTTACAGTGCAAGGGATATGTCCCCTTTTACACCATACATGCCACCATTCTGAAGGAAAAGAAAGTCAGAGCATGGCTTGCACACATGCTGTCACTCCCATCTTCGACATGCAAGGAGGACACACAGAGCTAGAGGCTAGTCAGCCTCACCTCAACCCCTGGGAAAGCAAAGGAGCAGCTCATCCTGGAACCTACATCCAGGTTCCTTCCTTCCATGAAGGACAAGAAACTCCTTGGGAGGAGTCAGCCTATCTTCACCAAGGGAAAGTCATGCTTGACCAAGCTGGTAGACTTCTACAATAAACTGACATGCCTGGTAGATGAGGGGAGACCAATGGCTAGTGCCCACCAGGCCTTCAGTAAGGTCTCTGACAGTGTCTCCCATTGAGAGCCCCATAGCCCCTCAAGCTGTTGATGTAGGGGCTGGCTGAGCAGACAGTGAGGTGGATTCAAAACTGGCTGAATGGCTGGGCCCTGAGGGTGGTGATGAGGGACACACGGTCTAGTTGGAGGCCAGTAACCAGCAGTGTACCCTGGGGAGAGTGAAGGGGGCCCGCATACTCAGTCCAGTCTTTGGACCGAGTCTTCTAGTCTTGCCTTGTGACAAAGAAGGCCAATGGCATCCTGGTCTGCATTAGGCACTGCCAGCAAGCCAAGGGAGGTCCTCCTTCCCCTCTACTCGGCACTAGTGAGGCCACACCTGAAGTTCTCTGTCCAATTCTGGGTTCCCCGGTACAAGACAGACTATGGACATAGTGGACACAGTCCAGTGAAGGGCCACAAAGATGATGAAGGGACTGGAGCATCTTTCCATTGAGGAAAGGCTGAACAGGCCCAACTCTCAGCCTGGAGAAGAGAAGGGTCAGGGGTGATATTATCAACGTGTATAAATACATGAAGGGAGGGTGTAAAGAAGATGGAGCCAGGCAGGCTCTTTCCCGTGGTGCCCAGTGACAGGACCAGAGGCAACGGGCACAAGCTGAAACACCGGAGGTTCTCTTTGAACATCGGGAAACACTTTTTACTGTGAGGGTGACCAAGCTATTTGCCCAGGGAGGTTGTGACCTTTCCATCCTTGGAGATATTCAGAAGCCATCTGGACGTGGTCCTGGGCAGTGAGCTCTAGGTGGCCCAGCTTGAGCACGGTGGGTCGTATATGATGACCTTCAGAGGTCCCTTCCACCCTCAAGCATTCCGTGATGCTGTAGCTACTTTATATACCTCTGATACTGGGGCCATTTTAAGCAGTAGGTCATGTGAGTTCAGTAATTTGAGAGCTGAGTTTCTTCAGAAGCAGAATTCCAGTGCATTGTTCATAAAATGAATGTTAATCTACAGTTAGTCTAAAATAATTTAGGGCAAAGATTATCTCTCAAATCCTTTGGTCCGATCTGCGGTTCACAGCCAGCATCAAAGTGAGGTTGCTCGGGACCTTGTCTAGTTTTGAGTATTTGCAAGAATGGCAGTTTCCCAATTCTGAGCTTATAACAAGTGTGATACAACACGCTGGGTTGTACAAGATGACCTCCAGAGGTGCCTTCCAACCTCGAACATTCCATGATTCTTTGAAACAACTACAGTCTTGTGTAGCAGAGCACAAGCCAATCTACTGTTACCAAATGGGCTCACGTACAGAAGCACAGGACGTGCTGTAAGCAATGAATGAGCGTCTACACAGAAAACTGGTAATCAGGAATCTAAACATTTAAAGAACGATTTTGACCTTGTGAAAGTCAGACTGTCAACTGAGAAGCAGGAGGACTACCTCACACACTGGTAAGTGCAGGAAGGTATCCACAAATTTGTAAGCAAGTTCCATGACAGAGATAAGAAAAACCTAGGCTTTCCTCCTCAAAGCCTGAAGCTTTAAACACCATCTTTGCCGATTAATACTTTATTAATGGAGATCAAAAAATTAATCAAAATCCATTGATGCATTGCATTGAAGCCTAACACCAGTTGAATCTTTAAACAAAGCTTAGCTGTCATTCATAATCCAGTGATGCATTAAAGCCTAGCACTAGTTGAATCTTTAAACAAAGCTTAGCTGTCACCAAAGTGATCCTACCAAAGATCCACCAGAATAAGCTACATCCTCTAAAAATTTTGTTCTATTTATAACTAAATTGTGCACTCTATTGGAGCCCAAACAGATCTAGTGTCAACTCATAACTATTAGTATTAATAAAGTTTGGCAACATCAAACTTCCCCCAAATTAAACAAAACTGTTTCTTCCAGTAAGTCATATAGAATATCCGAATACTGACCTTATTCACAGCTTCCACAAGCATTCTCATTTCCTTCTCAATGTCACTCACAAATTTTAAATCCTTCCTGCAAGAACAGCATTCCAGGTAAATGAGGCAAGAAAGCGTACAAAGATACAGTATCTTCATCTTTCATAATATTATTTTCAACAAGAACAAAATTAAGTAACTTAATTGAGTGAAGCAGAAGCAGCAGTGATAAAACATTTTCATTTACATATTACAGTATTTACATTAAAAAAAAAGTATGTCATCACTGTCACAAAAATCACTAATTATCTTCCCTTCAATCCTTGGTACCCAGCATAAAATTCTATGATACAACTCTACTGTGAGATAATCCAATTCTACTTTTTCAAAGATAATGTAGATTTTAATGTTATCATTTCAGTGTTTTTAAATTACTTGTCATTAAGGCAGTTGACTTAATTACAATACATGATTAGACACAAAAATGGGGATTGGATAAATAAAGCGGAGATTTGTTCCAAGAGAGGATAAGTGCATCAACTTTGGTCTTCAACTTGTCTAGCATAACAAATTAGTAAGAACAAAAGAAGCAGCATAAGGCTACTTGCAAGTAAACAGAATGTTCTTGATATAAGCTATTAAGGATTTTTTTTAATTTTTTTTTTTACCTTGCTTAATCACAGTAGGTCAAATCTTTCACATAAGGGTAAGCTTTGCACTCTGTTCTTAAGCAGGTAAACTAACTCCAAAAATAAGCTTGTTATTTGTTAAGGCACCATCCCCATGGGGAAAAAAAGACTGAAGATTTCATATCTCAAAGCTTGTTAGTAGTAAAAAACCTTAATTCTTCAAAAATAGGCACCATTCCATACCACCACAAGATCACTTTGCTGATGATGTCAGACTTTCATCAGTCAAGAAGTGCCTACCACAGTAGGCTCTGCTGTCTTTGGTAGTTCTGGATGCTGAAGTGAATGTGTCATCAAAAGACCAAGTGGTCTCAAGCAAATATGCAAAACGGCAACATTGAGTAGCTCAGCTACCAACATCACTTAATCACTGGTATGATGGACCCAGCCCACCACTGGAAAACCTTCAAGGTTTTGTAACAGTGGATGGACATCACATGTAATTTTCAAAACTCCTGCATCTTCAGTGGAGAAATATTACATTGGGAGAATTGGAAAAAGCACTTTTTGACTTCAAAAGAAAGGGGCCTTCAGACACCTAGGCTATGAAATACAGTCAGTCGATGCAACATGAGGCTTTTGAAAGACTACTACAGCAATAATCTTGGGTTCTAAAAAAAAAAAGCAACCAAAAAACCCCATCCAAAACCACTGATCCCTTCAGGATGAGCCTAACTCCAGAATCCATAAGCAAATACTACATGGAACGTCATCCATGAACACCCGTATTTCAAGGCAAAGAGATCACAGGCGGTAAGAAAAAAATGGAACTAACAATCCAATGAGAGAGTCCACAAGCACCTGATGTGTAATGTTCAAAAACCTACTGAGAAACCAGCTCACAGACTGCGGGACGTTCAAAAAAAACATAACACTTCAGGAGCCTATAAAAACAGAGTTATCAACTGGAAGTCACCAATGGAATCAACCAGGCAGGGTTCTTTTCTAAATAATTAGAACATCGCTCAGTTCCAGGAAATCCCATCATAACAAAGACTGAAGTACTGAATAGGAAGACAAAATAGAAAGCATACTCTTCTGGTGACAGGGCCAGGGGGTTGTGATGGCATCAAAAATCAACTGATTAAGAGAAAGATATTTTGCTGTAGGAAAAGGTGAGATAGGTTGGAGTAGACTAACTGTACAGAAACTAATTTCACAGGCAACACCTAACATCCCTAGTTCCAATGACCCCCTAAAGAGTAGAAGCAGGACCTTACTCCCTTTTGCTTGCAGATGACACCATGTTGGGTGGGAGTGTTATCTGCTTCAGTGTAGGATGGCTCTGCAAAGGAATCTGAACTGGCTGGATGAATGGGCTGAGGACAATGATATGAGGTTCAACAAGGCCAAGTACCAGGTCCTGCCCTTGGGTCCCACCAACCCCCTGCAGCGCTCCAGGCTGGGGGCAGAGTGGTTGGAGCTGCCTGGCAGAAAAGGACCTGGGGGTGTTGGTGGACACCGGCTGAACAGGAGCCAGCAGTGTGCCCAGGTGGCCAAGAAGGCCAATGGCAACCTGGCCTGCATCAGGAATAGCATGGCCAGCAGAAGTAGGGCAGTGACTGTCCCCTGTACTCAGCACTGGTGAGGCCACACCTCAAATACTGTGATCAGTTCTGGGCCCCTCGCTACAAGAAAAACATTGAGATTCTGGAGTGGGTCCAGAGAAGCTGCTGAGGGGTTTAGACCACAAGCCTTATGAGGAGCATCTGAGAGAACTGGGGTTGTTCAGCCTGGAGAAAAGGTGGCTGAGGGGAGACCTTATTGCTCTCTACAACTACCTGAAAGGACGCTGTAGCAAAGGCAGATGTGGTGCTTAGTAACGTGGTTTAGGGGTGTTTTTGTCAGCGTTAGGTTAATGGTTGGACTCAATGATTTTAATGGTCCCTTCCAACCTAGAGAATTCTATAGTTCTGTACTAGACAATGGCAAACCTGGAATTACTCGTGTGTGTGTGTGTGTGCATGTGTGGTGTGTGTTCAAAGGTGAGGCAAGCTGAGGTGAGTACTTTGTACCTCCAGAATCTCTCACATAGGAGAACTTCATGGAAGAACAAATCCTGAGCCACCTGATGATCTGAGTGAGCCCCAACCTGTTCCTGTTCAGACAGAGAAAGGAAGGGCAGGCCAACACAGGCAGTGGGAGAGACAGAACTACTGCTTTTTCTTTGGAAAAAGAAATTTTCCAAACATCTCCTTCTGTGTCTCTCTAGACTTAATCATTTGATCCATGACTTCTCTAGTCCATGCAGCTTGCTGTGGGGTCTTGCACAGCCAATGGCAAAATAAGAAAATTCTCTTCTGTGTAGCTCCAACTGGCCAGATATTCCAGATGTCCTCCTCTCCTTCTCCAGTAGTCTTAATTCATCAAATAGCAGTCTTGGCACCATCCTTGTTAAAATGGCCATTGATAATTGTGCCAGTCTACCTTCCAACTTCATGTCAATGGGCCAACTTGAGCATTCGCTTGCTCTCTGTGTCTATTTCTGGAGCCTCTCAGAGAGGTCAGTGTTGAAATGTCTACCCAGTGGATCCTTACCCCCTGATCTGTGCTCGATTGTGCTGGTTATGTTTAATACAGGGAGAAATTCATTTCTCTTGAAGACTAAATAAATGAAATTCAGTAATTCAATGTGCAAAGTCATAGACTTGAGGACTAATAAAAACTTTTGCTTTAAGCTGTGAATCAGTACGAATAGTCTGGGTGTATTAGTTTATCGTGAGTTGCCAATATAAAGCAGCTACAAAGGAAATGCAAGTAAAATCATAAATGACTGAGAAGAGGTATTTTGAAGGGAGAAGTGTGGGAGCAAGAAGGCTACTTTGCAAGGTTGCTGTTAGACCATATCAAACACAGTGCATGATTCTGGTGGGTTCTGTTCAGGAAAGATGAACACTACACTACAGGTAGAGAATGGATGACAGAAAGGTGAGACTGGACTGTATTCAAAAAAAAAAAAGAGGGGACTACACACATGACACGAGATACTCAACACTGTAAGGAAGTGAAAATGTTTGCTTTGTTTTCTCAAAGAGGTAGAGTAAAATATATTCTATATGCACTTAAGAAAAATGTCCTTACAAAATACCACTTTTAAGTGCAAATACTAATAAAACAGTACCTTCACAATGAAAACATTCAGCTTTTTTTTTTTTTTTTGCAGTAGGCTAATCAGTTGGAAGTAAAGCAAGCAGTGATTTACTCTTAAATTCTGTATGGTAAAATTTTCACTCATCTCAGCACATCAGCAAATTAAATAAATGATTTTCAAGCAGAAAACATCCTCACAAAAATATGAAATTTATGTATCATTAGGATAGCAAAGCAAGACCAAAACAGATTCAGCTGTTACAAAACTTCAGAGCTGGTGAAAACTAATGTCATGCCTACAAACACACACACGAGTAAAAACTTCTTAAATTACAGTTATCTTTTAAGCATCTTTTTAAAGATGCCAATCTTTAAAAATGCCATCTAAAGGTGTCCAATCTTTCCCTGTCATTCCAGATTGCGCAGTATTTATTAATGGGATGCTTTGATAATACCTTGACTTTCTATTGCCTCATTTTCAGACGTTTCAGTACAGCAGCCCCCTTTGCAGTCAGAACTGTTATAGGCTTAGCTCCGCATCAATAAGCTGTTTTATGAATTTATTTTTAAAATAAAGGCAGTAAGGAAAAGAACAAATGAGACTGGTGGTGGGAAATAATGTCAGGCTATGAGAGCATATTTCATTACTTAGCTATCACTTTTGGTTTTGTCTTGAAAATTTTACGAGGAGCACCCAGATGGGGGTTGGTTGTGTATGAAAGCAGCGGATATGTGAGAAGTACAGGTACTGATTCATAGTGAGAAAAATGGTGGAAAATGATGTTCTCATTCTAAATCTGGTCCTGTTACAGAACAAAGCAACCTGTCAGGCACTTTTTACTTTGCAGGTTCTCATTTTGGAGGTCTTGATCACCCACTGCAAAGGCCAGAGAGAAGAGTAAACACGGGCATTGTTACAAGAGTAAATAGAACCATTTTGCATTTCCCACCTTGCTCTCAACATTGTTTACCTATGACACCTCCCATCATCAGAACACATACCTTGCATCTTCTTGAAATCAACTGATTAAGAGAAAGATATTCTCATCATCAGAACACATACCTTGCATCTTCTTTTAAAAGGTCACTGTACTTTGGTCCAGAAGAACGGATATTAAAAGGATCAGAATTATCATCAATTTCAAGAGCCTCAGCAAGGCGCCTAAATTTGAGGGTAGAAGGAAAAAAACAAAGCGTAACAAAAACAAACATACAAATCCCTCCAGCCTCCCAAACATATTGTCACTGAAGAGTAAAGATATGGGTTACTAATAGATGAATTTGAAACTGCTCATTTAGGACTTTTCACTAGAATATTCTACTAAGATCTCAGATCACTCAATATAGATCCCCATACACAGGGATCACCTCCACATTTATCAGTTCTCTCGCTCATGCAGGAAAGATTTTTTTTCACATAGCATTAACTTTCTGAACCTGGAATTCTTCTGAAAAAGACAGCAAGCAAGTTCATTGCCTACCTGTTCCTCTGAAGAGCTAAGCATTCTTCATCACATTGCAACCTGAATAATGAAAAAAAATACAATTAGAATCACCACTGCTACTCATACTTTTCAAATGGTAGCTTTCCTGGTGTCATATCATTATCATAGCCTAAAAAATTAAGAAGAGTGTGTGAGCATAGTTTATTGTGTTCGATCAGATAATACAGCTAAAAACAAACAAACAACAATCAAAGATCTTTGAGCACACAAGCTCTTCTCTAGGTCTCAGACAGAAGCAGCAACTACCAAAGCCAAACAGCAGCTGAGAAAAACAGCTTCTGAATAAAGATTTTATTATATTGGCAAATTAGACCATTTGAGAAAAAAACCACAGTTGATATTGGCATTGAGGGCATGCTAGAAAGGATGCAAAATTAGCAAAGAAAGATGTGACAAGGTCACTTACATCACAAAATATTATCAGCCAGGGAAAACAGGAAAGTTAGCTACGCTTATGGAGGATTATGATGCACCATAAAAATCAGTATTTCAACTGAGCCCATAACTTCCTTGGTTTCTGTCTTATCTTTGAAAGGTACTTTACAATTTTATTTTAACGGACTAAAATGTCAGAGAAGGATCAAAAGTACAAACAGGAACAAAGCAGTCGAGGCTCAATCTGGGTAAAAAAGAGATTATTATATAGGAATTCTAGAGACAAATTAATGCTTATATTGCACATTTGCAAGTATTAAATTAATAGAAACACACAGGGTAGGCTAACAAAATAAAAAGACTCGATTGCTGTTTCCTGTTTGTTTATACAGTACGGTCTTTAAAGCTCTATGCAGGAGTCAGGACAGGTCTCCCTCTTTCACCTACTGTTTCCTGTTTGTGTCTCTCTTATACCATGCTTATACAGTACGGTCTTTAAAGCTCTATGGAGGAGTCAGGACAGGTCTCCCTCTTTCACCTTGTTTTTTTCCCCCAACTTTCTTCTGAAGTAGTACACTGGCCCAACTAGAAGGAAGCTAGAGACTGGGATGACCAGGTGCTCCCATGTGACATTTGTGTTGTTAGCTCATCTTGCCCATACAATCAGAGTTAGAATTATTTCAGTGTAGAAAATTACCCAAATGGACTTGGTAATAACGTGTTCCAATCTCATAGACATTAAACAAAGAGAACAGAATGGCTAGCAAAAATTCTTGAAGTATGCTGGTATAGCTTTTGAGACAGGAAGTTATGAAGCAATTGTAGGGGAAATTTCACTATTTTGACTGCACACATTATAAAGGAATATCAGATTTTAAACACATAACAGTCTGACTCTGAAATAATTAAATTCACAATTAACAGAGGAGAGATGGTAACAGAAAATAAACTAAACCCAGAAATAAGGGACTTCAAAAGCCAAGATTTCAGGAAGTTAATTTTCTGACAGAAGGATGCTGAAAAAACTTGACAATTCCTTAAAGAAATTATACTAAAAGTAAAAAGCCAAATTATTCCAATCCTAAGGAATATAAGGAGGAATAGAAAAATCACCAAACTTAAGTCACTAGTGGTTTTGTGACCTAAAAGATTTGCACTGCCAGCCAGTATGACAACGCAGAAACGCCAATCAAACTGAAATACAAACGTAAGAGATCTAAAAACAGCAGTAGAAAAATACTATAAATAGTAAGAATAGGGAGAAATATGCCCTATTAATCATCCAGGAAGGAATACTGGATGATGAAACAGAAGATAATAGCAAGAAGTTATACTATCTAGAAATTCAGAGGAACTCTAAGGAGTAGAAAGAAACTCTGAAACCACAATTATATTGTTGCATACACAATTGTAACAACAAATCAGCCACTGACAGAGAACTCCTACGTGAAAGCAAAAGCATGAACTGTTAAGGAATTGCAAAATACTCTTTCAGCAGTAGTGTTACAGTGTAGTGTAGTTACAGTAGAGTCAGGTTATTTGAAGTCTTCTCATTTTAGCTGGGATTTTGCTCACAATACTATGTATCTTCTCTATCGCCTGTGTTTCGGGTATGCACAAGGGTTTCAAACATGTTTCCACATGCATCTCCTTACCTGGCCTGCGTCATTTCTTTTTTTGTAATAAGTCTACTGATTTCCACTGAATCTCCAAGCTGTAAATCTGTTAACTTAGTGGCTATAGATATTGCAGCTATTCTGAAAAAGAAGAGCATTACATTTCATTTAAGGTTAACACATAAACCTTTGAACAAGTTGTATAAAGCTGCAGATTTAAACGTCCAGGTGAAGGAAGTAAGACAGACTATTTCCTCATCAGGTTACAGAACGGGACTCTAGTCCCACATCACCTAGTTTCAGGAATCTAACCTAGCTACGTAAACTAAGAGGTTACTCTCTCTCATCTCCTTCAAGCAACTAGGAGCAAGACTAACAACTGGACACGCTTCTTGAAGGAACTTTTCAGAGCATCAATGCTAAGTTTAAACTAGGTAATATAAATATTCTTTCTCCTCACCTGCTAAATAGTCAAACTACAGCTGACCATATAGCTTTAATTGCCTTTCTAACTTTTATGTGATTCTTTTTTAACTGTGTGCAACTAAAACCTGTAAAGTGAATTTATAGTGTATTTAGAAATTTGCATAGAAAATATAGATGATACAAGCAATAAGGAAACAGCAAAACACCTATTTTTTTTATAAAGATTATTCATTGTTCCCTTCAATAACACCCTTCCCAGACTGATTTTCTTGCTAAAATTTCTGTAACTAAAACATACAGCAAGTTTTTAGTGAAATATCCCACACTGTTCTCAAACAAAATCCTGAAAACAGAACATTCTATCCTCTGAACCATCTTTTCTGTTAAATTCAGATAAAAGGATATGTTTCTCTCTCTCTGTTCTGCATCACGTGCAGAGAACTAATCATGTATCAGGAAGGAGGACAATCGTATTACATAGAAACCAAAAGCCCTTAGAGGCATCGTCAGCTTCCTATTTATCTGGTGGTAACAAAGTCCAGGTAACAGGCCACTAGATGAGAGGACATGATGGTTTGTATCCTCTGTACTGATAGAGCAGCACTGCTTTCCTGTTCCTTTAGGCATTCTGCCAGTGACAGAGCTCAAAGGTGTTCCATCCCTCCTACAACGTTTTTGAGAAAACCTGGATACCCCATTAACTTGCTGACCTTTCCATAGTAGTACTACAAGAGTTTGTTGTAGTAGTAGTACAACATTTTCTTGTGTTGGTTTTTTGTTTGGGACTTTTGTTGGGTTTTTTCCCCCCTCCGCAAGTGCACAAATGATGGGAAAAAAAGCCAAACTTAACTGCCACAAAATTAGACTACTTTTATCTTCCAGCAACCTGACCAGTGGGAGTTATCGTACAAACTTAGCTGGCATTAAATGCTACTTTTGTTAATATCACATGGGCCAAGAGCAATTTGTAAACATACACGAACACATTTCACAAACAGATACAAACACTTGGTTTAAACTGATTGTTTCTTTCCATTCCTCTTGACTTGGGCTCTATTGGATAAATAAATACATGTGTGTTCAGCTTATGCATGCAAGGACTCTCACAGACTGCAAAGAACCATCTTCCTTGTATGAGTACTTTTGCAGTGCCTGAGCTATAGAAGTAATACAATAATATATATAATTATTGTATAATATGATAATATAGTGGAGATATAACAGCCTTCAAAAATGTAGACTTCTAATTACATTACCCTCCCTGCTTATCATTAATGACAACCATGTATCAATTTAAACTGTTATTTCAAAGCTGAGTCAGTCTTCTGATTTGTACTCATAGCGAGATAGATCTTAACAAAAACAACCAAACCTGAAACCTCTTTTTTTAAGAAAAAGAAAAAATGATCACCACTCCTATAAGTCTGTCTTGCATTCAACTTACTAGTGACTACAATTGTTCTGAACTGTTTCTGATTAGCCCATTTTTTCTCCTCGTTTTCATTAGGTAGCATTAAGCACCTATTCCACAGATGCTGAGCCACCTTCTGTCAGAATTTGACTCTGGGCAGTGGTCAGTAGGAACAGAGAGGCATCCCCTAAGCTGGGCTGGCATCGGGTCAACAAAACAATCATTAAGAAGCTTTCTTTGAAAGACAGGAAGAACCTGTGACTGTGCTCTCCTATCAATGGGGATACAGAGCAGAACTCTGGTTGCGTATCAACTCTCTAGATGATTAATTTTTTTACTCCCTCAGAGTAAGATTTCTTAAATTATTATTAGTGTTTGCTACTTTCATTTCAAAAGCCCTACTTTTCTTCTTTTCTTTGTCCCTTTCTTGCCCTCTCTCATAAGAGAGAAAGAGAAATAAGTTTAGAAATAGGATCTGGAGGCAAATCTGCTGCAATAAATGGAGTTGGGTAGGACTCAGTCTGCATATTATGAACCAAGATTTAGATGCCAAAACTCTCCTGCCTAAATTTAGCTATTTCAGTATGACTTTAAATCTCTCTTTAGCTGCATCATCTGTATTGACTAGGTTCCATCACACATTAAGGGCAACTTAGATAGGAACTCACGTGGATATGTAATCACCTACATTTAGGAGCCTGAATCTGGACCTGCCCAATTATAATCTGTATCCAATCGCCCTATGTGATTAGAACAGAGCTCCACAGAGGGGAGATTCAAGCTTTGACACACCACCACAGTTAGAGTAGCAGCTGTGAAGAGAGGAACGTGCTCTAGTGCAGCATAGCTGGTACAAAAGCTCAGTGGAATACAAAAAAGAAACGGTACGTGAACGTACAAAGAAAAAAAGTGTGAAATAACTTGTGAATTAAATATATTTAGTCAAGCCCGAAATGTAATCAAACTGCAAAGAAATAAGACCAGTAAAGAATCAAAATAATTATTACAGTACAAACCTTTGATATGTATTAGATGCTTCTGAGCAAATCATACTCTCCTTTCTTCTTCCACATTCACACTGAAGATCAACCTACCAGACAAGAGCAGCTCTTTTAAACTTTTGTCTTTTGTGGCCACGGAGGGCTGTGAAGAGGTAAATTTATTCCTTTGAGAGTCCCATTTCAGTGGAATAATAAATAATTAAAAGTAACAAATAGGGTTTTTTAAAAAAATTCAGTATTACAAGTTTATGGAAAAAATGTCATGCTATGAATATACAAACTGTCATTTTTTGTCACAACTGTTACCAGCTGATAATTAAACCATACAATTCACCTGTGAATTTTCTTTGGTTATCTAACCTTTGCAGAGCAGGATGTTGTCGGGCAGGGTGAAGAAGGGTGACATGGAGCCATACAGGGGTGATTACAATACAGCCTTGGAATAGTACATGGCTGTTTACACTCTTCATCTATAAGGCATTCTCCTTTATGACAGATTCTTTTACATTTGTGCATTCCACATTTTAACATTTGATTGCAGCGAAGTCCGCAGGAAATGTCAGTGAGATGACAAGGGATATTACTTCGCAGCTGGAAGAGGGGAAGAAAAAGATGACAGCTAATAATGAAAAACTATAAATGCAAAATTCAAAGTACTTTTACTGCTCATACCTTCTTTGGCACTGTCCACACAAGAATCATAATACTAAAATATCTTAGGATAAAGACTGAGTTTTTCTTTATATCATAGTCTGATATAGCAATTGCTCTGAATGCATATGGCATAAAAAAAAAAATATACTTTTCTAATTTAATCATGTTAAACTCAAGCTCCAGTAACACGACAATTCCAAAGAGGCCACAAAAATTAAAGCCTACAATTCTAGAACATTATTTAGTATTCAAAAACATAAAGTGTCCAGACTTACTTCATGCTTGCCCATACACCACTTCTGAGTGAGATAGGTACAGGGAGGACATTTCTCCTCGCTGTGACACGAATGGTACACTGCAGTCACAGAAACAGAAAAGCCAGCACCGTTTTATTAGCATGCTTCAGTCAAACGCAAAGGAGAAAGCAAAGGCTCTTAAACATGAGTTTGCATTTCAGAACTACACAATTTATGGGAAGTACGATTCTTCGTGTGTTCTTTAAAGTACTCTTTAAAAATTATGATGGCAGGTTTTTATGTGAATATTCTTCAATATTTTCTGAATTATACAGTAGAGAATTTTGTAACTTCTAAGTAGGGTTATACTATCAGACAGAATTTGTCAGAAATCATACCTATTTGACCTGCAGTATATTTTCTGCTATCAACCAATGTAATTCCAAGAAACTTAGAAACTAACCATTCACTAGATCATCCTACTGTTTCAATAGAGCATTTAATCTTTGGAATAAAACATTTAAAGTGTTGTGACCATTAATAATGATTAGAAAAAAATCCACAATGCTTTTACCAGTGAATAGCACCACTACTAGCATGCATGGCAAGTTTTTAGTTGGTTGCCTTTTAAGTGTAGACTTTTGGAAATATTCATAACTACAGAAAAAGCATCTAATAAAAAAAGCAAATATATTTTCAAAGAGACCTATGTACATATTTATATGTACGTATTTCTGTATTTTGATTTAAAAAAAAAAAAAAACACCAAAAAAACACCAAACCAAAAAAACAAACAAAAAACCCCACAAAAACCAAAATCCCCAAGCAAAACTGAACAGCCTGACTTACCTGGATGATTGCAGTCATGTGGCCTTGTGCATGTTTTTTTACACTCTGGTGGCTGAGTGCCACAGGGGACAGGGGGGTAAATCACAGATTCACCACAATAACAAGTTAACTCATCAAAACCTGAAAAAATAAATCAAATATATCCCAATGGCTACATATATATGCACTTTTCCAGTGTGAGAAATCTTTACATAACATGCAAACACTCTACTCCAGCATCACTGGAGTGTTTAAGCACCATGGTAGTGAATTTATTAGCTTCTATAGTTCCTACAAGAAAACTGGACTACGATCACTAAGGAATTATGCTTGCTTTTAGAGAGTGGTTCTTTAGCAGCAATGTCTCGAACTAGAGGAAGATAAATGCTCATTTCAAGTTGAAAGCTGTCGCTGTTCTATCCCTGACTTAAAAATGGGGAGATCTCTCTTAAATTCCCTTCCAGAAAGCATATAATCCATATCTTCTGCTCCAAACTTCCCCCCACCATCACTTTTTCAGGCCAGTGGTTAAATTTTGTCCTTTTGCCAAGCCTGAATAGGGAAGATTCCAGAGAAAATTACCAAAAGGTTGTCAGTCTGTAGACTTCTTCCTATAATTTCTTCTGTATGCTTCTGTATTTTCTTCGTTCCTGCCCACCCAACTTCATTTGTGCAAAGGGTGCCTTGATTCCTCCCAAATAACCTGTCAAATTAAATTTCTCCCCATAGGTCCCAGTTTAGCTACATCTGTACCCAAATCTGCTATTTCTGGTATCATTAGCTACGTCACAGCAGCATAGAATCATAGAATGGTTAGAGTTAAAAGGGACCTTAAAGATCTTCCAGTTCCAACCCTGGTGCCATGAGCAGGGACACCTCCCACTAGACCAGGTTGCTCATAAGCCCCATCCAACCTAGTGTTGAACACTTCCAGTGATGGAGCATCCACAACTTCTCTGGGCAACCTGGGCCAGTGCCTCACCACCCTCATAGTAAGGAATTTTTTCCTAGTATCTAATCTAAATCTCCCCTCTTTCAGTTTAAAACCATTACCCCTCGCCCTATTGTTAAACTCCCTAATCAAGGGGCCCTCCCCCATCTCCTGTAGGCCCCCCTTAGGTATTGGAAGGCTGCTGTAAAGTCTCCACAGAACCTTGTCTTCTCCAGGCTGAACAACCCCAACTCTCTCAGCCTGTCTTCATAGGAGCAGTGCTCCATCCCTCTGATCATTTTTGTGGCCCTCGGCTGGCCGGCACTCCAGGTAGAGCGTCATTAGAGTGGAGTAGAGGGGCAGAGTCACCTCCCTCGACCTGCTGGCCACACTTCTTTTGATGCAGCCCAGGATGAGGTTGCCTTTCTGTTTTAGCAAGGGGTTGGACTAGATGATCTCTAGAGGTCCCTTCCAGCCCCTACCATTCTGTGATCCTAAGAAAATTAATGCCTGGTGGTTGTCAATATATTTCTAGCAATTCACTACTAATTTTCACCACCCAGAATGTGACCAGAAAGCCTAAAACACACAACTGACATGTTTTATTTCTTCAGATGGTCCTATCCAGGGAAAAAAAAAAAATCACGCATTCTGTGATCCTAAGACAATTAATGCCTGGTGGTTGTCAATATATTTCTAGCAATTCACTACTAATTTTCACCATCCAGAATGTGACCAGAAAGCCAAAAACACACGACTGACATGTTTTATTTCTTCAGATGGTCCTATCCAGAGAAAAAAAATCACTAGTGCATCGAGTTGGGAAAGTCTGAATTCTAAGCAGCTAAACAAGTTCTAGCAATTCACTACTAATTTTCACCATCCAGAATGTGACCAGAAAGCCAAAAACACACGACTGACATGTTTTATTTCTTCAGATGGTCCTATCCAGAGAAAAAAAATCACTAGTGCATCGAGTTGGGAAAGTCTGAATTCTAAGCAGCTAAACAAGTTCTGCTACATACTTAAATATCTTTAAAAGTTATTACATTGTTAAACAAGAGTTCCCTTAACTTAGACATTATCTTTTTAAACTGCCTTTTTTTTTTGCTTGCATGAGTCTCCAATTTTTTTCAAGTGATTGCTGGATCAACATATATTAAGTGAATACGTTTTACTGTTATTCAATTTCAACTACTAAAATCCAACACTCAGTAAACTCATTTAGCAAGGCGTTGGACTAGATGATCTCTAGAGGTCCCTTCCAGCCTCTACCATTCTGTGATCCTAAGACAATTAATGCCTGGTGGTTGTCAATATATTTCTAGCAATTCACTACTAATTTTCACCATCCAGAATGTGACCAGAAAGCCAAAAACACACGACTGACATGTTTTATTTCTTCAGATGGTCCTATCCAGAGAAAAAAAATCACTAGTGCATCGAGTTGGGAAAGTCTGAATTCTAAGCAGCTAAACAAGTTCTGCTACATACTTAAATATCTTTAAAAGTTATTACATTGTTAAACAAGAGTTCCCTTAACTTAGACATTATCTTTTTAAACTGCCTTTTTTTTTTGCTTGCATGAGTCTCCAATTTTTTTCAAGTGATTGCTGGATCAACATATATTAAGTGAATACGTTTTACTGTTATTCAATTTCAACTACTAAAATCCAACACTCAGTAAACTCATTTAAAATGAAGTAACTACTCCTTCATGAAATGAAACGAAATAACTTCTTTCATGAAAAAACATACAATCAAAATCAACTGCATATTCTTCAGGTTCTAGTCAACTTGGATCACATTCTCTGTCCAACTCTGATCAGTTAGGTGAATAAATTTCTAAAATATGTAAGAAATAATGTGCTCTTGCACTTAACTCACTTGTTTGCCAGCACGTTTGACAACTGCCCCGGTGGCACGGTTCTTCACATCTATGAAGCCCACAGTTGAGTTTACGACCACAAACCAAAGAACATTTATGTTCTGTGTCCTAGGAGAAGGCAAAAAAGAAAAGCAGAATTAAACTATAAACTCCATCGATTTATTTTTCTCTGTGAGTTCATAATCTATTAAGTGACAAAACTGTATAGTGCAAAAAATAGCTTACGCCTGATCTGTACAGTTTTTCCACCACTGTATGGATACACAATTTCTAAAGTGGATTCTGTTAAGACCTCTGTTGCAGACACAGGTTGTATCATAGCTTTTGCTTCTTGTATAAAGTAATATCCTTCCCCTCCCCATTCTCCCTGGAATCACTGCATTGAGAAAAAGCACCTTTACACTGATTTTATTGCATTTAGGCTGGAATGTAGTTTTACATTTATCCTGATACCCATAAAATAAATGCTGCAAAATAAATGCACAGACACACAAACTTTTTGAGCACAACCAGTACCACAAATAGAGACTGAAGATGCACACAAGTGAAAAGATTAAAAAAGTCTTTTAACATTGCAATCAAAACCAAACCCACATCACAATGAACAATCTTATAAAACCACACAAACTTACCACACAGCAAACTTCATTACACTTGTGTCGTCCACATGATCTTTTCTTGTTGCATCGCTTGTCACACATGAATGTAATGGCAGCTATTAAAAAAAAAACAAAACTCAAAAAAACAGTCATAACTTTTACGTCTTTGCTTATGCTGAGAAGAAAAGCTGTGAAGACAGTATTATAGTAAGGCTGCTCCAAAGCATGGTCTAAGAGAGACTAATACAGAGTAAGTCAACAAGCAAACCTTACAGTTACTTGCTCTTCCACATTAATTCCTTGTGTGAACACTTGGCTTCCTTTAAACAAACCCTTGTTCAAAACTATTTCTGACAGCAGAATACATGAAACTAGTTTATTTCACGTTAATCTTTCCATGATAAACTTTGTAAAACAAAACACAGAAAACCAGATATCCTGACACACTGGAGTGCCACAAACGTCCAATTTAAGACTGCTCAAATTGGTAAGGCAGTAAAAGTCTGCTAAATGCAACTACTGCTGATACGCTCAAGAAACTAGTGCTAACAAAAAACATCCTTATCACCATCCACAAGTAACAAAAGCAATCACTTCTGGATACAGAAGAGCAAAGTCTTCACAGACAAAAGCTCAAATTAGGAAATATGCATATTACTACCTTATATAGCTTGTAAGTAAGTACTTCAAAGTACCTCAATACGACCTTATGTATCTCATAAGTACCTCAGTATGACAGGAGCCAAAAAATAAGAATTTCACTGAGCTGCATTCTTAGATGCTACAAGCAGAATATCAAAAAGTATTCCAAATGGGAAGACTATGCCAAGCTCAGATGCAAAGACCAGCTGCATACAACTGTGAAGCAGAATCAAAGCTTGTATTTCCCCAGGAACTTGGAAGAGAGCAGAGCAAAAGCATTACTTTGCATCTGAGCTGTGCAGGTTGACCCAAAGATATGCAGGATGCTGTACACGGGGGGAGGGAGGGAAAGGGGGGCAACCTATTGAACATGGCAGGTGGCACAAGCAACAGTTCAAATAGAAATAGACAGCTTGTTTGGAATCTTTGAGATCAAATGCTGAAGAAGTCTTTCCTTATGTAAAATATGGATAGGAATGAAAGAGATTTATTTCAAACCTTTTCTCAAAAGTAGCAGCATCTCAGGAAATAACCAACTTGGCATAGAAGTATGGATAAAAGAGGCAGTACTGATCAGATGTTTGCCAATTTCGTCAATCAAACCCAAAATTAATATGAGAAATAAGAAATAAGAGTTGTGCAAATGAGCTGTGTACTGGTTTTAAAACAATTTCACATTATATATGTAACATAACATTGTACCTTTATTTCTGAGCAGAGCACATGGGACTTCCTAGGAAACAAACAGGGAGCCATTAGGTTAGAACAGATGAAACCACCAAAACATCTCTAGAAAACACCTAGTCACACGATACAGAAAGCAGCAGCATGCTCACTTTCATGGGCATAACATTTCTGTATAGATAAGCGAAACAAAAGCTTGAAAAGAATCCTTAAATCTTATAACACAATGCCTTTCCTTCAAGATTCAATGCCAGTTAAACATTTGTAGTTTTGTATTAAAAATTAATTCAGCACTTAATTCAGCAGGAAACACCATGAAGCAACAGAAACAGGTTTGTCCTAAGAAACCAGAAACTTGCATGGAAGAAACACAGAGAATACTGACAGAGTGCATAAATCTGTGCTTGGACCAACTATTCCAAAAATACAAGTCTGACTTGATTAATAAATAAATAAATAAAAGTCAAACCTCACAATCAAAGAAGTTTTATCTAGATTAAAGACCTCAACATGCAAATAAAAGGTGATGGATGAAAACAACATTGTTGATTGACTAGATCTGAACCTTTAGTCATCACAACTCCACATTCTGATTTGTCATTTCTGAGCATCGCATTTTTCATGACTGATATAAATTATCACTGTAGTTCACTCACACTTTTTCAACAAGCAGCTTCCTGGAGTCTGAGAAGCTGCATAAACTAAAATCCAAACCTCACTACTTCGCTTCAAGCCTCAAAATGAAAGATAAGCTGAAGCCTTCTACTCCATAAGTACTTTCAGCAAACTTGCAGGAGAGAACTGTTCCAAGCTCAAGCAAAGTTTTACACATTCAAGAAGCCATCCCTGCTTATAGATGATATGTAACAGGTCAGAAAAGTCATTAAGGATCCTGTGATCCAAAAATTTCAAAGCTATGAATACAGAAAGTGGCATAGTTTAAAAATATACTAATTATTATATATTGACTGCTGAGAATCTGATGGGTCACTATATAAATGTACAAAGAATGGAGACCAGTAAAAACTTCTTATTCTCTCCAAAAATTCTATAACAAATCTACTAGCTATTACTATAAAGTTTTAGTTAGCTTTTTATGTTAGGCTACCTTTCTGCTCTCAGTTTACATTACTCTTGCTAAAACTACCATTCTTTGTGCTATATAAATACTGCACAATAATAGAGGACTTTGCAGCCAGCTTAAATCAACAATTCTGAGTAAACTGCAAAAATACTTCAAAAAATTGCCTTCACACTAAGTAGCCTATGTTAGCACTTCACAGTACAGTCTAGTTCACATTCATCAGTTAATACACAATGGAGGTTCTTGCAATATAAGGAGCACACCACCTCTTAGACTTCTTAGCTTTCTTCTCCTCAACTACTTCAACTCCTTCTTCTCCACAGCTTTAAACACCAACACAGATTACCTGGTTCCGTGGCCAAAGCTTTATACACTCACCTTTTTTTTAAAGCCACACCTACAATAAATATTCGATGTGTGAGAACACGGTCTACAGTCTCCTTCATGGCAAAGGCTTTCACAGGTATGAATGAATTCTAGAAAAATGAAGATATAAAGATTAACAATTAATGAAAAAATAATCCAAGACCTGGAACTTCATATTTATTAGGAGCATCCCTGGTCATAAGATAATAAATGTATATGCACCTGGGTTTCAAAAAACCCCAAACACCTATTTTGAGTTCAATGTGTACAAAATTTTGCCATTATTTTCAACTTTTTTATCCTGAACATACAGAGTTTCGGGCATACAATTAACATTGAAAATGCATAAGCTTTAAACACTTTTTACAGTAAGGTATGAAAAGAAAAAATAAAAAAAAGACTGTGTGATATTACCTTACCCAAGTTCCAGGAATTTTAAGTAATTTTTTCTTCCTTTTCAGCCCAAAAGAATAACTTACTATGCATACCTTCCCATTTCACTTACTATGTTAAATGAAATTCATCTGAAAGCTAAATCACTCAGTCCCTTTCTACTTCTTGTCCTTGGACTGAGAAAATGGTTAGTCATTAATAAGAAGCCCTTATCTTGACGGCATTGGTCTCTCTCCTCTCTAAAGTCTAACAAATCACAATTAAACACATAGTCTGTAAAACTGGAGCTTCACACCATCTCACAGTTAAATACACTTGAGTTACCTAATGCAGTCATTAACATGTCAGATTGCTTCTGCACGTAACTTCCCCAACTTTCCAATGCTACTTTTTACTTCATTAACCTCTTATAGCAGCAGGTAATGAGTATTTACTGGAGCCATCTGAGCAGTCATTTGTCTCTACCAGCCTCCACATCAAAGTCAAAGGTCTAGGTGGGCTTTTAAAAGCAAGACATCAGTACTTACTACTCTCTGGAAATTTGTACAGTTCAATTCCTCTACCAATATAGAAAAGGTGCATATAAACAAAATTTAAAAGGCTAGCTAGTGTTAGTGGTTTCCAGATAAATCTGTTTTAAGGTATCATTATGAACAGCCAGACTGCAGGTTCTGCAGTGGGTTTTACACTCGGTTCAGTAAAAACCCCTAATCACTAATCAAATAGTTATTTCTTGACATGAAACGCTTAAGGACCACCTGGTTTTTGGTTCAAAACAATGAGATAAATTTGAATAGTCTGATGCAGAAAGTTCTAATTACCATAGCTACCACAAGAAAGAGGTTTGCCACATGTTTTTCCACACGACGGGATAGGATCTGTGCATATTTTACGTTCAACACAACCTAGTTCCAGTAACTTGCTGAGAGGAGTCTGACCACAGGGACAGCGATACACTACTTGTGGCAGTCGTGGGCAGAGCGGGCAAGGCTGAGGATGGCATACTTGTGTACAGTTGTGCCTCCCACAGTTTAATTTTCTGGAAAAAAACAAAACCACAAAAACAAAAAACAAAGCAAAGGGAAAAAAAATAAAAAGGGGAATTATCTAAGAGTATCATGATCACTGAGTATGAATAAAATGACCTTGTTCTTTTCAAAGCCTAAATTATAGTGACCTTACTTGCCACATATATTTTGACATGAGAAACTCCCAAATCCATCAGAGAATTCTTCCTTTGTCCCACACAATACTTCTTTAAAGTTGCTTCCACAGTAACACACTGAAAGAAAGCAATATTCCACAGAAAACACCACAAGAGAATATCAGTGACAAAACACTTTCAGCAATACAGCAAATATAAAAAGGTAAAATATGGAAAAATTGTTACGGTCAGTTTTCAAAAGGATAATGAAGTTGCTCTTCTTTAGATTTATTTCAGCAATATAAGTTTCCCAGTCCTACAGGAACTGGAATTCCTGTTTTATTTATTCCGATAAGAAGATAAAAACTAAAGAGGAAGTACCAGCTGAACAAAAAGGTTACTTATTAAAGAAGTATCCATAACAATTTAATTACTACCTTAAAATTTGAGAAAATTTCTACAGAAACCGTTCAACAAAGATATATTTGTATACTGCCACACATACATAAACAATTTCCATTCAAGACAAAGTTTAGGAAATTTTAAGAGAAACTGAGTAGCTTTTTGAAAAGTGCTTTTCTATACCTCTTTCTGTTCTTCTTCCACGTTCTGTTTAATCAAGTCTCAGATTTACAGTAAAAGATTGAGAAGGCTCATAGGACAATTGAGGTCAGAAGGGTCCTAGCCCATCAGCTAGTCTAAGCCCTTACTCAAAGCACGGCCACGAGATCAGACCCCGTTACTCAGCGTTTTACTCAGCTGGGTCTTGAAAACCTCCAAGTTTCTGAGAAAAGAGTTTTTCCTTACAGCTACTTATAACATTTCAACTTGGGCTTATGGTCTTTCATCCTCTCTCCACAGACAGCCTACCTGTCTTCTTGATTAGCTCCTGTTAGCTATTGAAAAGCTCCTACTCAGACTTCTCAAGCTAACAGCATCCAGTACCACCAGCCTGCCCTGATGGGGCACATGCTCCAACAGCCTAGTCATCTTGGCAAGATTCTTTCTAGTCATGTCTATATTCTTACTTAAAATATATAGTGATGCTGACACATTTTCCATTTTTAAAATATTCTAGCAATAGGTTTTGGTTTTCTTAAGTAAAAGTAAAGCACTTGCCTCTTAGTACGGGTTTTTTTCACCCTCTTGCTTTCGCAGTATAGAGTGGATATATATATATATAAGGCATTTGGATACTTACCCTGCTGTACTGTTAATTGGCAAGGTGAACATTTTCCTGCATGGCACACTTGAGTACAGCTGTGCTTACCACAGTTTAAAGTATTTCCACATACATTAGAACAGTGAATTTTTGTTGATTGGCCACAGCGAACTGAATGACTGTAGAGAAATGACACCAAAGTCTGTCAGCTACCTTAGTATCTATAGAGCATTTATTAAAAAGGAAAATATACTTTTTCAGTAAAATGCCAAAGCCTCTGAAAGGGAGCATAATTATTAATGAAAGAGTCTTTAGAAAATAACCTCCCTATTCTTCCCCCTGCTGCCCCTCTCCCACCTCCCTAATGTAGGACACATCACAGTCGTGAGTCTACAGAATTTTCTCTCAACAAAATGAAAAAAAAAGTAATGCTATAACTTGAACCTAATGCATGGTTATGCCAGAAGAGCAGGAAGTTCTACTACAGATACATTTCTGAAGACTTAAATGATCTTAAGTCCGCTGAGAACAATGAAGATAGGGATGTGGGCCTTAATAGTGAGTTTGTTGTAGTCTATGAAAAGAGATAGGTTCTTTAATTAAATTGTTAAAGAATGGGACAAAACAGTAAGTTGTCCTCTTTTTCCACTCTGGCTGCCTTCATACAATTGTTGTGAAATGTATATTTGAAATAGTAACTTTAAAACATCTTAAGGTCAGAGGTACCATACATCTTGGATACTCTTACAGTACATACAAAAAAATGCTATTTAGAAGCAAATTTTAAGCATTACATGCAGTATTACAAAAATCAGCAATCGGGGGAAAGTAGCTGGCACCTGGGAAAAAAATAATCAAAGTTGGTTGCATCTATTAAACTTTTAAATGCAAGGTATAGCTAGAATAAGAAAAAGGAGGTTATCTTGCTGTGGAAAATAAAATTCAGTAATCTACAACCAATCCATTTTTCTACTGAAGGCAAAGTACTTTCAGCTACAAATGCTGCCACAAAAATAGCTGTACCTTCCTTTAAAAAATTAAGATCACTTAATGTATTACATTCAAACTTTCAGAAATTATTGTAAAAGGCTGAAACCATTTTTCTTGAGCAAGAATGCTAATAAAAAATCAGTTTTTGTTAGTCTGGGTTCTAGAAACAAGCGCAGGCAAACATTTTATTTTACAGAATTAGTTCTAGGTAGCTAGAATGGGGACTCTAAAGACTCAGAACAACTTAATATGAGAGATCACAGATAGTATGGGCAGTACAACCTTGCTGTTGGCAATGACACTAAATTCATCAAACACGTAAGGAAGAGATTGCCTTCAAGTCTGGAAAATACTACAGACTTCTCTCATGCTTGTGGTACAGCTTCCAGAAATGAACACATTATTTTGGAAAAAATAATTTCTGGAATGGAGTAACTCAACAATACATCTCATTCTAATAGAAAAGGTGTGAACCTTTTTCTACTTCTTTCTCTTCTTTAAAATTTATAAATACTAGCATAGGATTTCAAAATCAAGTCAACTCACAGACTGCTTGGACAATTCAGCTACATGCATCATAAATTAATTTTAACATAGATAACTGTTTTTAATTATTTTTTTTGTAAAAGATTAGAAAGTAATGGCGTATTTTTAAAACAAAATTCTCCAAATTATTTTAGCACACACATAAAAGATACAGCTCAGAATAAACTTTTGTCTGTAAACTTTTAATAAGCTGTAGAAAAAAAATACTATATAAACTTTCAATAAACTATTCTTATATAAATTTTTGTTTGTATGAAAGAAGCAGTCTCACCTAGTTTGTCCACATTCACATGTTTTTGTCACAAAGGCTGGGCATGAAGGGCAAGGTCCTGGATGGCACAGGCTTAAAAATAAGTCAAAAAAGCAAACAAAATTGTAAAGTTAACTTTAGCTTTACTACACTCCCACAGAAACTATCCACCATAACTCAATCCACAATGCATTATCAGAAGATTACACAAGCCACCTGCACTCCTGCAGGGTATAAAAGCCTTATTAACCCAAGAAAAAAATATTAGATTATTATAGTGGCATCAGTCTCAAATATCACTGATGCTGACGGAGAACTTTAGTATTGCTGCTCTGTCAAATCAACAGTAACAGTGCTACTAACACATTTCATATTTTGCATTTCACCAGCAGGCATGCATCAACTCAAGTGTGTTCATCACTGGTAACACTCCAAACAAACACCATGTGTCCAAATATGTTTATTTCTTCAGTGATCTTAAATAGATTAGAGACAAAAAATACTTCTCTATGAATTTCTTCTTTTGAGTTTGTGGCTTTATCTTTGAACTCAGCATTTCTTACCACCACCAGTAAGAGTTATTGCTCCTCCTCTTGTAAGGTAACACATGGAGAAGCAGTGAGTCTGCCTCAGTTTTCTTTCTTACCATCAAGTGCAATTTCCTGTGAGCTTCATCAGCGTCAATCCTTTATTAGCAGATCTCACCTCCTACTTCAAGAAACTCTAGATGGTCCCCAACTGTATATAAGACCTCTTTTGGACACAGACAAGCCCACGTTTGTGAAATTATACTTAATTAACTTGTCTGCACTCTTCCTTAGCCAGCTCCCAGTTACCTTCCTTTGCAAATACAGCAACTCTCACGTGGAACAATTATTATCAACCAGGACTGATCAGCCCAGATGTCCTAGCCAAAAGAAAGAAAAAGCAGAACAAAACACGAAAAAGCCCCATAAACACAAACTACCCAATTACATGGTAATTACTTACTATCCCAAGTACCATCACTATGCAAATACTAATTAGTACACCAGTTACTACAGTTATATGCAAAATAATTGAGTCATGTCAGCACTTTGCCAACAGTGGCCTGGCTCCCTTCTTCCTCTAACGCTCCTTCCAGCCAACAACAAGGCCTGATCTATCACCCAACTTATGCTAGCTCTAACAGTAAAGCCAACCATCCCTGGATGTGTTTAAGAGCTGTTTAGATGTGGTGTTGGGGGATACGGTGTAGGGGAGAACTTTGCAGAGTAGGGTAGATGGTTGGACTCAATGATCCCAAGGGTCTCTTCCAACCTAGACGATTCTATGATTCTATGATTCTCTAACACAAAAAAACCACCACCAAAACCAAACCACAGCCCCACAACCCTCCCTCTTTGATAGGTCAGTGCATAATGGTCATGGCATTGGCCATGATGGGTCATGGCATAATGAAGAGTTAAACAAGCACCAAAGCAGGCACAAGGAAAGGGAGAAAAGAGCAAAACTGGCTGGTGCAAGGAAGACACAATACAGAGGGAAACAGGATGAAAGAAAAAACATTAATTAAAACTGCAAAACTGTATTGTGGAACTTCAGACAATGAAAATTAACTTTGCATTCTGCAACAGAAAACCTCTTGTAAAAGGACAGCACTATGTATTTCACTGCCTTGACTTCAATTCTTACAGACCCATGTAGGATTCTAAAGGCTAAATGCCAGCTTCTAAACTTAAGAACCAAATTAAAAGTAGATATAAACTCAAAACACTGTGATCTAGGTCATAACTTTGAAAAGCGCTCCCTCTTCAAACAGCTACTTGCGTGTTCCTCAGCTCTCCGGAGAGAGCTGTTTATATAAATGGTTACTAATCCATTTCAGTAAGTCTGAGCAAATATTAAAGATTTATTATTAAAGCAGTGTAAATTAGCCCCACTCATTTTCACCAAAATAGGCTAGCTAGTGCCACACTTAACACAAGCCTCCAACTAAACTCTACACCGTGGAAAGGAGATTAACACAATGATGTCTACATTAAAAAAAACGTCAGGTTGAGGAAATACAGTTGGGAATTGGCCAACCATTAAAAAACAAAAATCCATACACAAGGTTGGAATGCCACACTTAACACAAGCATCCAACTAAACTCTACGCCATGGAAAGGAGATTAACACAATGATGTCTAACATTAAAAAAAAAGTCAGGTTGAGGAAATACAGTTGGTAATTGGCCAACCATTAAAAAAACAAAAATCCATACACAAGGTTGGAAGCACCTCTCCTATGAAGACAGGCTGAGAGAATTGGGGTTGTTCAGCCTGGAGAAGCGAAGGCTCCAGGGAGACCTCATTGCAGCCTTCCAGTACCTGAAGGGGCTACAGGAGAGATGGGGAGGGACTCCTTACAAGAGAGTGCAGCAATAGGACAAGGGGTGACAATTTTAAACTGAAAAAGGGCAGATTTAGATTAAATATTAGGAAGAAATTCTTTGCTGTGAGGGTGGTGAGACACTGGAACAGGTTGCCCAGAGAAGCTGTGGCTGCCCCATCCCTGGAGGGGTTCAAGGCCAGGCTGGATGGGGCTTGGAGCAACCTGGTCTGGTGGGAGGTGTCCCTGCCCAGGGCAGGGGGGTGGAACTCCATGATCTTTAAGATCCCTTCCAACTCTAACCATTTTATAATTCTATTTTTAAAAAGTGCAAACTCACAAAATCCAAAATATAAGTGAATAACCAAATATCACTTCAGTAGAAAATGGTTTGTTTTGGTGGTGTAAAAGGGCCCAACACATATGTGTAAGCTGGTGTCCTGGGCTGAGGTAAAACAGAACCAATTTTCTGTTTGGAAATTTTACTTTTTAACTAAGCCTTTTCTATCTAACTGAACTCTCTGAAATTAACAGCATATCGTCCAGACACTGTTCATTCTCAGAATGCTAAGACTTGATTACTTGTAATTTACACTAAGGAATGGTATGCAGAAAGACTCTTGCTTGTACTTATTGTTGTCACAAACAAGGTCAGCAAACTTTGTTGTCTGCCCCGCTGGAGGGTCAGAAGCAGAAGAGTGTCGAGAGGTTGCTCCTGTGGGGAGGAGCAGACAGGAGAGGTGACCCAAACCTGACCAACAGAGTATTCCATCCCATCTGCATCAGTATAAAACCTCAGGGATCAAAGGGTCAGCCCTCTTTCTTCAGTGACCGGTATCCAAGGAGGACTCTGTGTGTTCGTCTGCCTCTGATCCTGATCCATACATTCCTACATCCAGTTCTGGAAACTGGCTCCCATCTGTTGCTGGGTCCAGTCTGAGACTTCCCCAGTGCCTGTCGGTGATGCAAGTCATCCTGGGAGCTTGATACAGTTTTGTATATATTGTATATATTTTTTTGAATATTATTATTTCAGGAATATTTTCAGTGTAGTAGTTTAGGATTTTTTTTCTTAAACCCGTAAGCCTCTTTCTCTCTCTGCCTCCCCTCCTTGGAGAGAGAGGTGGGGGAGAGCATCTGTCGTTTCAGCGGCCAGTCCAACCCAAACCACATCAGCCTGTTACAGGCAACAGCAGGCTGAAGAATTGTTGTATCTCTGTAACCTCCTTTTCTAAATCTCAACACCAATTTCAGACATTCCTTACAAGTGTAAAAGACATACCAAATAATTTGAAAGCCATAACCACCAGGGTCACAAAACGTAAGGAAACATAGCTCTGATTCAAACTGAAAATATGCAGGACTCATACATTTAAGTACATCATTTTAGACAGTGCTTAGAGACAAAGGCCTCAAAAATGACAGTCTAACACTGAAAAGTAGAAAACCATGACCAATTAGACCCCCCAACCCATACAAAACATTCCTTGCCTGAACCGGGCTGTCATCTTAGTCTCTCTTAACCAGGGTATGAGCTTTAATATCCTGTCCAAAAGCATCTATGCAATGCTGAGAGCTGTACACATTCTTATTACCTGTATCAGGATGTGTTCTCTTTTGAATCTTATTAATGATTTGCATCAATTTCTTGAAAGGAGGTGCCCTGCCTAGCGAACACATTTGATGCATTCTGAATTTGCCACCTTCTGATTTAATTGAAGGTTTCATTTCCTACTCAGGGAAAACAGCGTGGGAGAAAATCTCCATATTTTCAATGTTTTCTTGATAAAAGTAATCACTTTACAAAGCATTACAGTAAAAGTATCCAAATCTTTTCCCACAATTTTTCTCCTCAGCCACAAGAGTCTGACGCTCACTCAAGTTTTAAAGGGAAAACAGACTCTCAAGTAACTTATATCAAAAATAATGTAACCACCTAAGCAGCACAACTGGCACCCCCAAAAGATTGACATCCGACATAGCTCTCAGAGCTGCTCACCCCACAGGGGACAATCATTTGCAAAAGCCTAACACACAGCACAACACAATGCATAAAGAAGGCAGACAGCCACAGGAAGGCTGAAGACCACCAAGAATTACTACAACAGCTTACTTAACAACATCTCCTGTACCCTGCACAGTTCATCTACAAGGTAAGAGGGAGCAAATACAAGCATCCTAATGCAAAGCAATGGCAACAACATTCCTCTGACCTCACATATGAGGAGAAAAGGGGATGATGCTTGTTTGATCTTGGTAGCGTCACATCAGATAGCTGCTGTGTAGATGCATGGTGTGTGGTTTCTGAAAAGTCAGACAACACTGCAATTCATGTTCTGTTGCTAGGCACTGCATAAATCTGATATAAAGAGCAGGACGTAGCTATAAGCATCTGAATCTCCCATACTCCGTTGATGCAATAGTTTCTTATCTTTCTTTGTGGCTAAGTAAGAATCCCTGAACTCAAAAAGCAGGTTCCCCAGGACTCAAATTCAAGTCCTACCAATGAAGAGGGCTCATAACATGATTCATCCAGATTAGCTCTGTCAGAGGCACGCAGACCGCAGACACAGAGGTTTGATCAACTGGAAGACAAAGGATGGAGCCAGACTTCAAATGAGAGCCCTACATACTTGAACCACAAAGGGTTTCCCAGAATAGATGGGATTAAATACTGGAGAACAGGCAACATCAAGAACGCTATACCAAGACTCAGACACCACACCAGACTCCGTCCACTGCCCATAACAATGGACACATACCTATTATTAGCTAAAGTCACAGACACCTGAGAAGAACATGAATAGTTTACCCCAGAGAATTCACTGTCCCATCATAATGTGAGGTAGAAGGTCTTGACAATGACATGGAATGTTTGACCCAGGAGAGAGAGAAAGGGAGAGAGAGGAAAAACAAAAAAGCTTTTAGGATCTCAGTCAGCAAAATGGCATTTCTGGTTCAAACCCTATCACCTTATGGCAACCTGTGAGAGCAGAGGAAAAAGGCACACAGCAGATCCACAGTTTAAAGAAACAAGTGCTTGAGAGAAAGAGTTCTGAGATCACCTAAATTATCACCTTATGGCAACCTGTGAGAGCAGGGGAAAAAGGCACACAGCAGATCCACAAAGAAACAAGTACTTGAGAGAAAGAGTTCTGAGATCACCTAAACTCAAGCAAAAACCATGAAACAGTTCAGAAAGTGCCAAAAACACCCATTATCTTGATCTGCACCCTTGCTGTTTCCTTACCTCCAGGACTCTATGTTCTCAGTGTGGTTTTACTCACGTGGAACCAGCTGAAAGATAACACTTTTAAATCTGCTACAGCTTAAATGATTCAGAAAGTGCCAAAAACACCCACTATCTTGATCTGCACCCTCGCTGTTTCCTTACCTCCAGGACTCGATGTTCTCAGTGTGGTTTATACTCACGTGGAACCAGCTGAATGATAACACTTTTAAATCTGCTACAGCTTAAACTGGTAGCAATTGTGACTTTAAAAGATCCCAGGGGATCAATGGGGACTACAGGGACTACAAATTTGTATCTTGCAGTAGGCATAATATTGCCACCACTGTTCAGAAGACTTCCCAGAAGAGAATGCCAGAGTCTGGGCCTCTGCTGTAGACTGGAACAGGAATTAAGAGGAAAAGAACATCTGCTTCTTCCCAGCACTATAGGAAAGTTCATCAGGTAGCAAACTGCAGTCAGGTTGTTCACAAAATAGTTAAGGAATCTACTTATTTCTGACTGGGCAAAAAAGTCCTCCACCGACATGTGCCTCTCCTGAGACGGAGGCAGCAGCTGGCCTCCAAGAGAATCAGTGTTCTTCTGAGTCAGGGTATCAGCTACATCAAATGTAGCTGAAAGCTGATCCATGTTTCGGTTTTACCTTGCAAACCACAGCAAACGGGATTCAGTATGATGATGAAATTATGTAACCAGCTACAACACTGAAAAGACAGTCTGAAAAGAAATTTAGTATTTTCACATGTGGGGAAAAAGTATTAAAGAGTAAAGAAATATTCTTTCATTCAATAAGATCTTGAAAAAGGTTTGAAACAGAACACAGTAAATAAAAAGGCTGGAGTAAAGTTCTGAGTCTTAGTAAACCTTGGAAGAAGTGTAAAGTGACAATCTATTTGATGGAATGACAGAAGTTTTTGATTGTGTTCCAAGAGCAGAAACAATCACTTCTGACTACTAAAAATTTCTCAAAACAGAAATATGAACAGGCATTATGGACCAACTTTCATACATGGAAAACGAAGCTAGATACACCAGGAACAACATAAAATTTATTTTTCTGACTACTAAGTATATTTATACATTAGAAAAGCTCGCCTAATGCTGTTAACCTTATCAATATAATACTACCACACTGCTAAGAAAGATCTAAAGGAAAACATCCAAAACTGCAAATAGCACTGCTCTTCTTTGCCTCTCTTCATTGAATTATACTAATAGAGGTTAGCAAAAACAATCCAGTGTTACTCATACTGATTAAGATCTCCATGAGGGATGCTCATTGAACCATCTGGTGGTGTCAACAAATAGATTAGTACATATAATGTCTGCTTATCCTCAACAGTTTACAAGCCAATGAAAAGAGAAAGAAAGAAAAGATAGAAGTAAGCGGTGCCAAGTACCACTGAGCTTAGCTTAAGATACACAAACACTACTACAGGAAAACCAGCACCCAAAAAATCTGGTAGACCACTGGATACACGTTTAAAATTGCTTCTAGTCACTATTATTTCTTTACTTCAGTGAAAATTCTTGAAAACATGCCAGGCAGCTGGTTCAGTTGATGGAAACGTTGCTACAACTATTGCTGCTGAACTGTTCATTCTCTCATGAACTCACTTTAGACATACAAACACAGACTCTATTTCTTCCAGCTTTCAGTTGAGCTATAAACCAAATAAAACTTCTAAGCACATCCTCTAGTCAAAAAATATCCAAACACATCTTCAGAAATTTTCTCTATCATATGAATATTGAAATGATTTAAACTTTTACTTACATGTTACAAAGATGTGGACAGTCCAAACACTGTCTCTTCTTTCCACAAAGTTCCCCACAGCTATGTGGGATTTCATTTCTATTCCACTCAGGATTGTGCACCTTACCTAAACCGCGTCAAAGACAAAAACATATTTATTGTCTTGAATACAATACCAAATCTGGGAAAAACACTACACCAGAAAGAAAAAGCTGTATTTTCAATACTGGCAGTAGTCTTTTTTGAAAAACAAAACAATACAAAATGTTTATATTTTTCTCAGCTTTCAGTGCTGATATATACTCAACTTCTTTAAAAGTAAGTGCCACTGGAATATCAAGCTCCAGAAGATTCCTTCCTTCTATGCTCTTAGCAGGCACTTAGGTAGCTGGTATTTTACATTAAACTAAACTGAGAAAATACAAGAAAATCAAAAGCTCCCTTTAATTGGTCAGGCTGCATCGTAGTTAAAATTAAAGCGTGAAACCTCCCGCTGCCTCAACACAGAAGAATAAAAAAAAGGACCAAAAAAAAAAAAAGATACCATTCCCAGAAAATAAGATCTAGCTGGTAAGGTGATGGGGAATAGGGGCAGAATTAAATGAATGGGCAAATTTTAGAAGTCAGTTCTGTAAAAACTAGACTCTACATAAATCTAAACATTAAAAGTTGACATTTTGATGAATGCAGCAGGAAGTCTTGAAAAAGAAGTGATAAATGCTAGTTTCAAGTATTCTGTACTTGAGATAAGCACTATTTTAATTAATAGAAGAATAAAAAACCGTATTTTAATTAATCTGACATACTGTTAGCAAACCTCATAGCTCTAATTGCATGAGATGATCATCAGGGCTAAAGTTAATTGCCATGGTTAATACATGCAAAACTAATCCGGCTCTCTGCAGGAGACAACTGAGGTAGTGTTACAAATTTGAATTGCAACAATTAAAACACTGAGAAAAGGTATTTTTGGTGGCATAATTATATAATTTCAACTCTTTTAGTACAACTTTGTATATTCTACAAGTTAGGAAAATACAAATGTTATTTATTCACCCAACTTTCAATTAAACTAGTTGAATATCCAGGAAAATGCTGAAAGTGAAAAGATTCCAAAGAAAAATAAAACAGAATTTTTGTCATGGAATGGTGAAAAAACCCACACAATCACGCTCAACACACAGTATTTTGCACCAAACAGAAGACAGCTTTGCATAAGCAACTGGTGATGTCCAAATGCCATATCATTGATGTAAAATTATCTATAGAAGATTTAAGTCGTATGTTCCAAAATGCTGCTCTGCTAATGTTAACACCGGGGACCACTTGAGGTTCCTACTGTAGATCTCCGCAAACTATGAAACTGTCTTTAAGCCTAGGCAGAATTTCTTTCCTATTTGACAAATGGACAGCCTGTCTTCAAAGCGTAATTCTCTTTTTGAATCAAAGCATCCATTCTAATGGAATTATTATCCTTATACTCATTAGATTTCACATATTGTCATACAAAAATTCTTTTACCTGTATCGCACTGTTCTTAACTGACTCACTGAAACACCTAGATAATGAGAACTTTCCATAAAAGTATCTATAACAGCGTAAGTCTAGTTTCTTTAGGGCAAGTTCACTGTCTCAATTCCAGAATATTCTGTTTTGTAGACAGCAAGGTGAAACTTTCCAGTGACTCTGACTTAAGGAAGGGAAAGCTTTCTGAAATCAAAACAAATTTTGAAAGTGTAAATCCCAAACAAAATTTATTTGCATGCATGCGACTGTCACGGTTTCAGTTGGGATAGAGTTAGCACTAAACCAGCTGCTAGCAAAAAAAGTTATGTTTTGGATTTGGGATGAGAATTGTGTGGTTTAAGTTGTTGCTAAGCAATCGAGGCCTTTTCTGCTCCTCACACCACCTCACTAGTGAGCAGGCTGGGAGGGCACAAGAAGTTGGAAGGAGCTGGGCCAAGTTGACCAAAGGGCAATTCCATCCCATGTGACATCATGCTCAATATAGAGAGCCGGGGGAAGAAGGAGGAAGAGGGGGGTGTTTGGAGTGATGGCGTTTCTCTCCCCTCAATAACTGTGATGTGTGATGGAACCCTGCTTCCTTGGAGAGGGCGGAACACCTGATGGGAAGCAGGGAGGGAATTTCTCATTGCGCTTTGCTCGCCTGCCCAGCTTTTGCTCATATTATACTGTCTTCACCTCAACACATGAGTTTCTTCTCACTTTTACTCTTCCAATTCTCTCCCCAACCCCAACCAGGGGAGATGAGAAAGAGACTGTGTGTTCTAGCTGCCGGCTTCTGTTAAACCATGACAGTAACATAATTCATTTTTCCCTTTTTGTCATACGCTTACAGCTTTGCAAATGTTATACTCACTTCATTTACTTCATTTATTAAATATGTATCTATATAAACGTCTAAAAAGCCTGACTATTATTTCCTATTTAACTTGTATGTGTCCCCAGTCAACATAAATGAAAAAATTGCTAAATCAATTTAAAGGTTTAGAGCGTTGTATGCTTGAATTGTGTGGCAAGATACAGCAAAATAATACAAAGGAAGACATAGCACATGCAGATTATTTCAGTCCTTCTACAGAACTCAGAGGACAGTAGCCCAATTCTATCATTATTTTAGAAAACCACTATTTTTACGTAGCGATATGAAAATATTTATCACTTTGTTGTAATATTTAACATTTGAAATGGTTTAAGCAGCAGATGTGTGATTCTCTGTGCAGCCACTTTCCAGTGTCAATAAAGTTTTAAACAAGGTTAAATCTCAAGGATGTAGGCAAACAAGTAGCAATATTGGAATTCAAATAAAAAAAAAATAAAATTAAAATGACAAAACAAATGCAAAAACAAGCAAGAAACTCACCACAGAAACAAGTGTAAGTTTTAGGAACTTGCGTAGAAGCATTCTGACAAGCTGGACATCTCCAACCACTATTACCATCTGTAGGACAAAAAAATGACTTGAAGTAAATAAA